AACGATTATTCATTTTATAAAAAATAAATGTAATTGTTTTTTCAGTCATTATACTTAAAGTTCAGAGTAATCAACTGATAATCGTTTTTAATAATCGTGATATCAATTATTGACCAAAATAATCGTGATTATGATTGTTGCCATAATCGCACAGCCCTGTATAACGATGGTGGACACACATGCACACACAATAAGCACCAAGGAGAGGAGAGGGTACCTTCTTGAGCTGTGCCCTTTGGACTGGCCAGTGGCTGAGCTGGCTGCGGCTTTGGAAGCCTTAGAATTAGGTCTTCTACTTTCGGGTGGGGAATTTGCTTTATGTTTAACTTGCTCTGACTGCAACCTGTGAGGTTGGAAATTAAAGAGCAAAAGATAGTGTGGGTTTATGTAATCAAGCCACATAAAGAAAAGAGACATGATCAATCCCTGAATCATATAGTCTTACTGCGTCTCCATAGCCTCTGATCATTAACACCTCTGGAGTAACAGGATCTAAAATGAGTTAATCAGCATTTTACTATAATAATAACTATAAAGAAAACAATATAATCTTCCTTACTTATGTATTTAGCATTAAAGCAACATTCTTATCAACTTCAGAGAAATAAAAACATGACTCAAGTAAAAATATCCCTTTACCTAAAAGTTATTTGTTGCTCATTTAAATGAAATAAAAACAGCCTTCCCCCCCCCCCCCCCCCCATAAAACATGATAACTGCCTCTTAATTTGGATTTAGGTCTAATTTAAAGTAAGTGTGCAGGTCGACTCACCTTCCTGCAACTGTGTGGTCTTGTGGCTGGGCCGCAGCAGTGTTCCTCTGTGAACGGCGCAGTGACCCCCCTGGATTGGAATTAGGCCGGTTGGACATTGGCACCTCTCTCCTGAAGGGACATACCCTTTCTAGACACTACCATTCACTGCAACAAAGGAAAAATAAACCACATAAGAAAACGAATGTATTATATCTACACTTTCCAACCACCACAGGGTCGTCCATGGTTTGGAATGGGTTGCTGGGTGGTAGGTGACGGCTGATGGGGTGTTCGAAACCATCACGATCACCTCTCTAGTCTGTTTGAGGTGATCAGGGGAACAACTGTCTCATCAGTTTTCGTAAGATTGTACATCAAAGGAAACTCCCACCAGAAAACCCCTGACAAATCCTATTACTGACATGACCTATCAGCTAGGGGCAAAAACAGGCTGCCAAAAAGTTCATGAGCAGGGAACCAGACAGTTGTTCATATAAAAAAAAAGGTGGGCTACGGTTTAGACGGCAAATAATTATCGCTAAGTGAAGTAGAATTTTAAAATCTAAAATAAATTATTGAATCAATAATGTGCTTTCTTGAAAGAAAAAACAAGACTCAAGTAATATCCACTCGGTTCACTTCATGTCTTATATTTCTCATGTCTGCAAAAAAAGTGACCTTTAAATATCAACTCTTACTGTCGGTATCACATTATAATTATTGGTTTAGAAAACAGAGCAGTTTGCATCATGCTGTTAATAGTTGAGCCTATCACTAAGTGTCCTACTAACCCACTCAACTTGTTTGTTTTTTTAATATATTTGTATGTTAAAACTGTTGACAGGAGGAACAACTGGAATAAATTCACCCAATAATCCTCTTCAGAATATCCCCTTAAGTTATAAATACAACCCAAGATGTTTTTGAGTAATAATGAGCAATGTAACAGACAAATAAAATACCATTATGCAGAAATCAGGTCAAACAGAACCCACAAAAAGATAATTAAATGGCCATTATATTACATAACCAAAAGAGCTTCTTGTTGGGGTTAGGTGTTGGTATCATTTTAGTCAAGCGTGTAAAAGAATACGAATTTAACATATTAAGCATTATATATGAATAATTAAACAAGTAAATTACTCACTGGATTGATTTGTCACACACACACACTAGGGAAATGTTATCAATTGATACACAGAGGCTCTTAATCACAACCTAAAATACTTTTTTCCATCCAGAAAACAATGATTACAATTTAGTTAAGGTTTAAATCATGATATCCTTGATAATAAAATACGCCACACTTGGCAGCTCACAGGGCCATTTTAGGCCTGCTCTGACAGTGCATCCTAGTCTTTGTTTATTCTGACAACTGGTGCACCACTCGCGTATAATGTGATTAGTTAAGCGCATCAGACGATCAGCAGCTTGAAACACTCGCCTGTACAAAGTTTCTTACACTACATCACTAAACAAACACGACCGTGTCTATTTGTTATACCCATGATTTACAGAGGCCTTTATTTCTGACGTAGTTCTCTACCACCAGCAGCAGCAACTAGCATGTTTAGCCACTCATATCCTAGCTAGTCCTATACATTTTGACAGTAACTTCGTCACATCTATATAACACACATCTCAGTCGCAAAATGTTGATTATCATGACAGCCGAAAGGGTAGAAAGCGCATACCAGAGACTGGCAAGTAAAAGTTAGGCTAGCTAATGTAGCTGTGGTTACATGGAAATGCGTAGTTGGCGTACCGGTGTGTCAACCACTTTAGCCCCATAAGTAAACGCACTGCTAAACCCAAACAGCTACCCTGTCTGCGTTGTGTTGTTGTATGAAATGGCGACGGACAAATTCCTTAAAGTGGCAAATAACGATAACACTCACCTGGGATTAGCTCTATATAGAAAATGGCAGCATCGGCTAGACCGTCTTTCCCAATGTAATACAGCTAGCAGCAGGCTACGGCGTAAACCAGCCTAAGCTAACTTGGTATTCAGACTGCCATGACACACACTGATCTGTGTTTGGCTGATGGAGGAAAAAGCCATACATTCTTCGCAAGCAAGTTAGCTCACCTCCTGTACTGTTTGATGAGATGATCAAGTCAAAATCACACAACTGTCAAGTCGAAAGGTAACCAGGGAAATAAAAAAAATGCTCTCTTAGCATCTGTCAATGCAATGAGTACAGAAGTAGATATCGGAATCTATACGGAATGTTTTCTAAGCTGACTGAAGGCCAATGACAATCAACAACAAATACATCTGTTGTGCAATAATTACACCAGTTAAAATTATACTACTGGCTGCTTGTTTGTTTAGCAATACCCTGTAATATAACACTGCAATATATACATACATATTAGTAATTATAGTATGTCATCAGCTACCTCATTACTTTCTACTTGATTCACTTAATTTTTTTATAATGCTACTAATTACCTCTTTATACTTAATTATTATTTGATCTTAAATGTTTCATATGTGTGCATGGCACTTAAACATAATTGGTGTAAAGATGTAAATGTCCCCTCTGTTTGACCAACATTGGTCTTGCCACTTAATCTTGCAATATTTAATTTCTACTCAGTTTCTTCTTGCACTATTTTCTATTGTTTTGTATCAATGTATTTTATGTCATATATATCAATATTAATGTTGCATTGTTGGAGCAGCCTAGGGAAACACATTTGAATTGCCATAATCCCATTGTAGCTACTGTGCATATGACAATAAAGCCTTTGAATCTAATAAAGGGATTCTGATTCACTACAGCGCATGCTAGCGTGTTAGCTATTTTTTTGCCAGACAAAAAGAAGTTCTATAACATTCTCACTGTCAACACAGTAGAGTCTTCCTTATGTAGGTAAAAGGGGTAGAAACGAACAATATATTTAGCCAAGTACCTTGACAAGAATAACAAGAACCGATGCTACGTGTTAGCAAGCTAATGCTAGCTTAGCCAAATATCTTGACGAGAATAACAAGTAGCGATTGCTAACTGCTAGCTTAGCCAAAAAAGATTGTCTCGTCAATGACTCGCAAACAGTAGGCTGACAAAAATAAACACGCGACTGTTAGCTAGACACACTATTGCTAATAATTGGTATTAGTTTGGCTAATGTTAGCTGTCCAGTTGACAAAAAAAACACTGACCTTAACAAAACAGAACTACTGCGGGGCAGCAGTCACGTATATGACGTTAAGCGTTGTCAAACCAAACAAGAGCGTTAAAGCTATCACCAGCTAACCTTAGCATGCAAAGCTAATTAATATTAGCCTTGTTGTAGCTGGCTAACGTTTTGCCAGCTCGACAGGATGCCAATGGGAACAGCTTAGTTACAACTAACAGATTCAGCCTTTTTGGGAACAATCTGGTCATATGTTCCTATTAAAAATGCACAAGTTGTCTTAGCTAGCAGCTACAATGTTAGCTGCTAGCTAGCCAAAAAAAGAAATGGCCTCTGATACCTTTAGACACAAAAAAACAGGAAAGCAGGAACGGTATTCGAGATATTTTCGCAACACTGAGTCATAATTCCTCCGATGTATTTCGATATTGAATAACCTCGAAGGTCCACGAAACTGTTGGCTGAGATGTCACTGAAAATGTCCACCCTTTTGTATAATGTTGTTACCTATTTGTTCCAGTGTTGTAGTTGTAACAGACAGTGCACCAGCAGCTCCTCTTTTCTCTCTACTGCTAGTTTCACATCAGCTGAGGGGGCCTACAACTGCAATATACATCCGCGTGATTCATCCGCCAGGGACTACTTAACGCTACTTCTGGGTTTAGCTAACAGCATCTTGTTTTGTTTTTTTACGCTAAGTTTTCCCCGATACAATTTAAAACATGGCACACAGGTTTCGATATAAAGACGCCAGTTATATGTGTCCTATACGTAAAGATAATGATTGCACCACTGAAGTCATTGGTAACATTAGCTTGTCACAAATATGAAGTATCAATCCGCTGGGTCGTGAACCCCCCCGTCCCCCACACGTTATACAAACATAAAACAGTAATGTATATGATGTTTTGCTACCTGTACGGTATTCTTTCTTGAGTTGTAAGTTGGTGGTGTTGCAATAAAAAAAGTACGATACAAATAATAAATATTATGCTCAACATAACCTCTCATCAACAATATCAATGGTTTTCTTTGCAGTTGAGTACATTCTGATATTTTTAGTTGCTTTGCAGTTGTCATGGTTACAGATCTGCGTCCAAAAATGGCGTCTTTGCTTGGGGATCATCTTTTTCAATTCAGTGGTCAGGGTCCTCCTCCTTCAAAAGATTACTTCCAACTCATTGTCTCCAGAAATGAGGTTGAGTATTTCAGTTTCTATATAATAACTTTATGGTTTGATAAAACCATTATGTAGTTAAACTACAAAGCAAAGGCTAGCTTACATTTCATCTAGGCTACTAAATTAGTAAACGTTAGCTTGTTAGCTTTCAGTGGTGGAAAAAGTATTCAGATTCTTACTTGAGTAAAAGTACTAATACCACACTGTAAAATTACTCAATTTCAAGTTAAAGTACTGCATCGAAAATGGTACTTAAGTTAAAGTATTTAAGTATGATTAGGAAAATGTAGCTACTTCAAATATGACTTGGCTTAAAACATATTTTAAAAGCAAATGCAGCACATTTTTACTTTTAATATTTTTAGGGTTAGGTTTACTATTTTTTGAAGAAAATAGTTCTTAGCAGAATAAGTGTGAATACATTTTCTGTTAACCCACTCATGGTTTTGGTCACCTAAATATAATGGAGGATGGTTTAATCAATACAAAATAATCAACATTTAAGTTGTTCCTAAGTCCAGTTTCTGAACAGATATGAGGAGCTGTGTGCTAACTGCTAACAGCTAATGGTTAATGTTTTGGTTTTGTGGTTCAACGTCAGTGACGGCAGGCTGAGATCCTCACCGCTGATTGGCAACTGCGAAAACGCGACACGCGAATTTGACGCTCGAGTTGAAAAAATTGAACTCAAGCGTTTGTCACGGCATTCGCATCAACCGCTTCATGGGCGCCGTCGGAGCGGATTCGCGTCTGTCCGCATCTCTGCATTGACTTTACATATAATCGCGCCGCCCCCAAAAATCGTATCGCGTCTGGTGTGAACGCACCAGCAGCGTCCACACGGCGGCTTGCGTTGAAGCTTGCCGGTGGGCGTGTCTGAAACTCGACCAACAACCAATCACAATGAATCTCCCGCCCCGGACACACACGCACGTGGTTTGATTGGCTAGAGCTTGTACTGGCATATGATTTGATTGGCTGACGCTTCCGTCAGGGTCGGCTCCAGAACAAATCGAATGGGGGGGAAAGCATTTACCAAGGGGGGGCACACACTGCCGTCAACAACCAACACACAAACACCAACGCAACTTCAATTAAAAAAAACATGCTGTAAAGTGTCTTTCACACACATTGCAGGGGTGTAGTGCTATTTTATAGCGCGCCTATGACTTGTGCATACATGCACGGTTGTGGCACGACCACCAAAACAGAAACATATAAGGACATAGGCCACCATATGAAAAGTGTGCAAATGTATTTATTATCCTATCCATGTGAACATGTTTTAGGTGGGGGTGGACCTAACGTCCTCTAGGAGGGTCTGGGGGCATGCTCCCCCGGGAAGCTTATTTTTAAAATATTGAAGTTAAATGCATCAATCTGGTGCACTTTGAGAGCAAAATGAAGAGATCTATGGATAGCCTACATCTCTAAGCATCCATATGAAACAGAACTGTACACAAATGTACTTTTTCTTTATGGATATTTTACTAATCACTCCCCTTTTAAACTGTATTCTTGTGTTACTGTCCTATAGTATTTCATACCCGTTTTTCATTTATTCTCTTATTCTTTAATAACTATAATAATCATATAAAGGTATTCCTCGCAAATACTTGTTTACATAAATGGTGACCAAACCGTTTGAGACCCACTGAGATAACCTACACTAAAGTGAACTATCTAAACACTGAGAGAGTCCTTACCTCACTGAGCTGAGGTTATACGATCCTCTCAGTCTGACAGGAGAGGACTCTCCTCCACCTTGGTGTAGAAACAGCTCTTTATATCCGTTAGCATAGCTAGCTAACCAGATGCTAACAACAACATTCCACGTTACCACTCGCGCACTCACAAAATGCGCTCGTGCCACACACACACAGAGCCGAGCTTGAATGAAATACAGAGACCCAGAAGTACTTGTACTGTAGGCCTACTATATCATATTATTTTCGATGGCTTTACTGTATAATCAGTGTAACAGATGAACAGATCGCCACTGCGCTTTCATCTAAACACACAGCCACGTAATGATAACAAAACAAAGGTCGGGGGTCATTAGTCAAGCAACACACCAATCAGAGAGCAGCAGTGAGCACACCTCAGGCTGTGTTTTATATTTGTATTCTTTATTTCTGATGTATTTCACACAAAAAACCTTTAGTGGAAACGTTTTCACTTATATGATTTTTTTTTTAAAAACCCGGCAAAGTGGCAAGGCTTGCCCACCCTGCTTTGGGGGGGCACAGTGACTCATTTGGGGGGGCATGGCCCGCGAATGACCCCCCATGACGCCGACCCTGGCTTCCGTTGAAGCTTAAAAAGTTGAACTTTGCTCAACTTTTGAAGCGAGCAACGCGAGCAAAGCGAAGCGATGGAACCACAATGCAATTCGGCAAAGCGTGACGTCACCCCATTCAAAGTGAATGGGAAGAAGCGTTGAAGCTTCAACGCACGCCGCCGTGCGAGCTATATTCTGAATTTATAAAGTATGCCTACCTATATATTTACAAAAAAGTACAAAATTGGCCTCCACATGAAGTAGAGTAGAGGCATAAAGTATACAATTATAATATGTTTGTTTATTTTTTGAAAAGTTGAAGAAAGACTTTGTACCATTATTACAATTTCACCTCTTAAATTAAATTGAGTGAGGTAATCAGTGAATTGATGGCCAAATTATACAGGTTGACTTATCCAAGTTAAATAAACCTAACATAAGTATTCCTTGGAATTTATATGTACCATAAGCTCTTGGAATAAAGTAATAATGTCCTCACTCTGCCCGTACTGTTATTCAAACTTCAGGTAATATTGACATCTTGGAAGATTTCTGTTCGACTTGGTTGCAAGGGCGTTGCTCCCAAACAGCAGAAGATATCCCATCATGATTTCCTACAACAGAAAATGCTACAGCGTAAGGATTCTTCATTAGAACATATGTCCAATCATTGTTGTATACACTTGTCTGCGATACTAAACATATTTCCACTTCTTAAAAAAAAACAATTGTTTGTGCTCAGCATTTGCTTTAATGGAAATTCTCATTCTTCTCACCTGTAGAAGAAGTTGAAGCTGTTTTCGGGGATAGGATCCTTGAACACACAAAGTTACTTTGTCAAGGGAAGTTTGATTACCTGGAGCGCTTAACCGATGACATATTGCTCAAAATCCTGGCCAACCTAGAGCTGAAAGATACAACACAGCTGGCACAAGTTTCACAGAGATTCAGAGAGGTGAGAGCCTCTTAAAATTATACATTTACATATGACCCCTTGTGCTATTTTCCATTTCACTTTCCCTCTCTTTGATGTGTACCCTTGATCCCATGTATATTTGTACACTGATAACCACACCTCACAATCTGCATGTGTTTTATTATCTTTTGTGACCCTACCAGATCTGCAACTCTGAGAAGTTCTGGGAGCAGACTGTGAGGAATGGCTGTGCTGGCTTCACCAGGGACATGGAGGGCATAGCAAGTGCCATGGGCTGGAGGAAGATGTTTTTGACCTTTTTCCACACCAGTGGCAGGAAGGGCCAGCAGTAAAGCAATTGAACAGTTTATGACCGTTCTAAAACAACTGTAATACAAATGCTTTTACAGAGGATGGTTAGTCAGTATTCATGTGGTATTTTGTGAAGCAATATTCAGTGTTTTTTGTGAGTTTAAGTGAGTGTTCTTAAGATGACTGTTAGGTCGAATAAACTAAAGATGTATGTAAAAAAAAAAGTATATTATGGGTACTTTGGATGACAACAACTGACACCGGTATTCAATGGATAAAAACATGTTACTTGAAAATGGTGTATGTTGCAAAGAGTTTAAATCTGTAATATTACTAGTAAATAAAAAAATCGTATTACAGCCTTATCCCATCATGTTTCCTGAGTCATAAACCTAACTAACTAACTAATCCAAAAAGGCCTTTATATATACACTTTAGCAACCAGAGTCCTGCAGACAAACATTTAATCATCATATTGCCTACTTCCTGTTTACATTTGCAAGATAACGGTTGTTGCGCCCTCTGCTGAAACCCTCTGCGCTCAATGCTGTCTCTGCTTACAGCCAGCCTGGGTTTAACATGGTCTCTGTGCTTGTCATGTGTGCAGCCAGCAGAGGGAGCAACATGGCAATGAAAACTAGAGTCAGATGATGGGAGGAGGAAGATAAGCAAATAAACCCTTAGGTAACGTGTGCAAAAAAGTAATTCTGGTAACCATGTCCAGGCCTAAAGACCAGAACACACTTTTCTGGATTGCACAAACAGCTCTGTAGGGGCATCAGCTACACCGGTCCTACCTCAACTGAAACCTGTACAAGCCAACTACAGTAACCTAAGACTAAGGTATGCACTGCTTTTTTTTCTAACAGGCACCTTAGTGGACAACATATGGTACAATAAAGGTTAGCAAGACAGTCTTAAATACTGTCTTTGATTCTTATTGTCACTAAAGGATGACAAAAATAGAAACACAAGCATTAGTAATTGTCCGGTGTTAAGGGACGAGAAAATGGTGTGGTTTTCCTGTGTTATTTTAGAACTCCCCTCAATATTAAATAGTCTTCCATCCAAATGATAGCTAGGTGTTGGAATGATCTGACATAACTGCGTACAGTCTCGACTGGTCACCACTATGGCCTATTATTAGCTACTGAACATTGGATACCGCCTTCTGAGCCGAGTCTGGTCTAGGAGGGAAAATATTCATTACGTAACAATAAAGGATCTGTCTCCCAGAGCCACTTCCTGAATACCGTCGCAGCAACTAGGCCCCAAACCGAGGCAGAGCGGAAGCCTCATCCATTTGTTTGCTGGAGCGGTGTACAGCCGTTCTTTCCAGCTTATCCTTTGCCTCCACACACCCCTCCTTCACAGCTCCTCTTTGTGGGTCAGGGACGCAGCGGGAGTGACGCAGCAGTGGCAGCAGCCCTCCAGAAGTCAGCTCAACACAGTCCAATCAGGAAACCAGAATACACAGACGGGAAGAGCGAGGATGATGAAGGTCTGATCTGGTTCCAAAGGGAGAACGGGAGCCGGGTAATAGTCAATGTCTTTTTCCTCCTAAACAAACACCAGAGAGACTTCCACAGAGACAAAACCTTCCACACAGAGACATCTTGGTAGGCGACTCAACGTGTGAGTGCGGGTAATGGCAGTCACATAAATGCTACCAGGGATGAATGTCTTTCTATGCTAAGAGTGTGAATGCGTTGAGCATGAGGATGAGGCATGCTCTTCCTCCCCGCTGATCGACGTCTCTACAGGCTGTAGCTTACGGAGCATCACAAGCCTGTATATCCTGACCCAAACTAGCTGTGATGACAAGTGTGACTGACAAGGTTTTGCTTACAAAGTATTTCAAATGATCCACAAAACAGTCATATTTCAGCTTTCAGTAATGGCCGTGATTTGATTCCAATTTAGAACGATTTCTCAGTTCTTTGAAAAAGTAAAGCTTTACTAATGGTTCTCAATCCTGTGGACCGTGTATGCGAGATGAACGCAAATGCCTTTCAGTTTACATGCATTATTAGGATTGTATTAGTATTGTTTTATGTTAGAAAGACTACATGAAAACCATTAAACTAACAAAGCTTAATTAACATAGCTTGAATAATGGTTCTCAATCCTGTCAACCCTAGGTTATGGAACATATTTAGGATGGCCCAGGCAGTTCAAAATACAATGGCTTAGTAGTCCACCATATTTAGGAGTTACAAATAATTTAAAAGCCTTTATTTCCTTGGCTTAATGCAGATGAACTTCAGCTTACATGAATTATTGGACAAGTATATGTCGTACATAGCGTACAGGCAATGTTAGGGGATTGTTTTATGTTAGAAAGACCACTAGGTTGTTGACAAATGATCAGTTTGCCCACCGTCTAAACCTGCATCCAGTTCAAATCATCATAGTTACTAATAAAAGAAACGCCATGTTAAATGTTACAAATATAAAACTGTATATATTATCTTTAAATAAAACCTGGCTTGGCTTGACATAAATATAACTAGAGTTAACCTCCAACTACTCCTATCCCTTCACAATATTTAGGGTGTTGTTTGTTCATATGACTTCATATTATGTCTGTCTTTGCTGTGACTTAAACTTTATTGCTATGACGTTGACATGTTTGACTGACAGCAGTCTCTGTTCATCAGTCAGCTGTGGTGGTTGCTGCATCCCACTTCTATTCTAGCCAGACCCCCCCCCCCCTAGGTTTCCAAATGTAGCTTGTATAGCTCCAGTTATGGAAAGTATGCACTGAATCCACTTTTGCCTTGGATTGCTATTTAGTACTTAGTACTCTGGCTGCTGCCCAGGCTAATATAGGGGTCTTCAAGGAGGCTGTCTGCAGCAAAAATAGAAGACTGAGTATTTGTGCATCACGAAACCAACACAATGTAATGTACAGAAAAAGGAACAGGACAAAACAGCAGCTAAGACCAAAAGCACAAACACCCCATGAATAGCTTATTTCCTTCCTTTAGGGCAGTGAGTACGAGCCTGCATAATGACATGGCACCTACTACTCAGCCTTTTGAAGTTATCGGTACAAGAAATGCACTTGATTTCAAACTGTTGTAAAGTGGGTCTCAGCCAGCATTAGGAAAGACCATACAGTGATATGACTGCACTCAGTTGTGTAAATTAAAGAGCTGCTTGTGTCCTCAGAGGCTAGCGAGAGGCTCACAGTGCCACGTCGGGTTCAGCCTCCTCCCCTCCCCCTCGTCTGCAGTGCTGACGCATCTGCTGCCTTTGCATCAATCAGCAGCCTCTATATAGGTACACCGAGAATCCCCTCTAATAACAGGACTGTTGTTCCCACCCTCAGCCACGCTTTCACTTTGCAAGCTCACTGCGATAGTGAGAAAAAGCATCGATGAACATCTGTCCTCTATGTGCTCTGATGCACAATAGGACAGTTCCATCTTCTCTCTGGCTCTGCATTACCTAACCACAGTGTCTGCGTAAGCACAGGCTTTGGTGTTATATATTGCTGCACGGAAACACGATGTGTGCATGAAGCAGATGGTGCAGCGTTATGCATTGAAGGTGCATGTGAGATGATTTAGTTTCATGCAAATGACGTTGTTCCTTCTGGTCAACATGGATGCAGTGGGATACTGCTGGTGATATTTAATTCAGCATTAGTACAGCAGCGTACCCCTCACTCTGCGCTGCCACCAGCAATGCAGCTGAGCGCTTTCTATCAGGCTGTATCATTGAGCACAGAGCTGGTGTGTGATGTAGCACCCAGCATCTCTCCGCTCTCCCTACACTCCTCTGCCACGCTTAATAAAAGTTGCCGCTTCCTGTTCAGTGGCTCCACGACGAACGCTTCAGTTGCCCAGCTAGCACAAAAGACAGACCCATACTCCGGTTTAGCTACATGCCGTATGAACTGCGAGTTGTTGGTGTAGTGGGACAGGAGATGGAGAGCCAGAGGACGGCAGGGCAGATGTAGCTTAGGACCCGGGCTGCATGGAGAGAGGCGAAGGACGGTGAAACGGGAGTCATCTGCACACAGAGAGGGAGGGAGAGGAAGACAGACGTCAGAAAAAGATCTGCTTCTGACAGCACCACTGTTCAGCGACCATCATAGAAAGAAAACTACTTTCGCTTTGCTCTCACAAAACTGTTTTTCACGTATAGTTTGTATATTGAGGGCTTTAGAGAAGGGACACTGCATGACACCGTTTCCTGTTCGCCGTGCATCATTCTCTCAGATTTTCTAAGGTATGTTTGCACGGTTTCCCTCAATTCGTTACCTGTTTCTGAGCGGAAGTGCACTTTGTAGAGAAGCGTGAAGTGGCTTTTGCTTTGACGTTTCGGTCTTTGTTTGACAACACTGTGTCTATACTATACTGTCATTTTCTTGGTTTGTGGTTTGCTGTGTGGGGATTTTTATTTCACAGTTTGAGACGTAAAAATATAAATAATATCACATGAGCTTTGAAGGGAAAGTGTAGGGTGGGTGTGGCACAATCCTAAACGTTTCCGCTCAGCATGTGTTATACAATACACAACAATACTGGTGTAAAGTCTGAAAAATGACAGTGGTTAAGTAAAAAAAGCCTCATAGATGAAAAGACGTTTATGTAAACAGCAGAAATCAGTTCAAAGCATCACTTGCTGTTATCAGATGAGAAAGTCCTTTGGGTAGCATTTCTGCTGCAGACAAAGACACACACACCAACACACACACACATACACACAAAGTACATTGAGGCAGAGACAAAGGCAAACCTCGTCGCTCTGTGGACGGCTGCGAGCGGCAGGTTCTAAGAGAGGGCAGGATGTTTGTGGGAGAGAGGGGACCGAACACCCGGACAGCTAAACACACTCACTTGCTATCAGGCTGAAACCCAATAAGTGCTGCGCCATAGCATGTTACCATGACAACGGAGGCCTGTCTGAGAAAGAAGGCAGGAGGCTGTGTTTTCAGCCGATGGAGAGGCTTAAAAACACGGCGGCCATATTGTATTTGTTGCACGAGGACAAAATTGATTTTTTTTTCTTTTAAATGAAATCACTGATTAGTTACGTAAACGCCTTGGAAGTAAATGAGCAATACTGTGAATGTATGTCCATGTACTAATTTCCAAATGATGATGCGTATGGTAGATAACATTTTTTAAACACGAAACAAATTAGATATAAAATAGAGCTGCCTCTTGATTTAAAATAGCATGGGACCATCTTCACAGTATAATTGAAACAGATTAAATCTCATATCATGACAAATGAAGCCCTTTTCGACCTGTTTTTCACTCATAAAGCACCAAGAACAAAGAACAAGTTCACAACAGAGAGACTTTGAAAACAGCTCTCTGCCTTCAGAGTAGCAGTTTGCTGAATTGTCTTCCAAGGAGGAAATTCCACCGCTGTATGACTTTCATTGCAGCCTTAAATGAGGATGATGTCAGGTATTTAAATAACGTTGATGCAGGTGTGATGATTCATCCCTTACAAAGGCAAGCTGAGAGCAGAAATGCAGTCAGCCTGAGACATGCTATATGACTCATAGACCCATGCACTATAGACAAACTACCATGACTCTGTTATGCGTAGGCCAAAGTTAGAACTTCCTATTTCCAAAGTGAGAATGAATGAACTTTCCTCTATAATGTTGCAAATCATTTAGTTTCTTACTTATCCACAAATGCTGCCATGTCGATATGCATTGCCTGTCTGGGTAGAAATCTGTGCAGCGCGTGTTATAACTGGAGGACTAAGTTTGTGTCATTAACAGGTCCTATTATGCTTTTTGGGGTTTCCATTTCCTGTAGTGTGTTATATGGATTTCTGTGCATGTAAATGGTCGGCAAAGGATAAAATCCCTGTGTCCCCTCCAGAGGGAGTTTCTCTCCCACACACCCTGTCTGAAACGCCTCCACAGGACCCCTTTGTTTACTTCTGTAACATAGTGACATCCCTATGTAACACTCCTGCTTCAATTTGCTAGCGCTCCAACACATTGTGACGTGTTTCCATGCTTTAATGTTCAAAAAGCTCTTTACTTTTCTCATGCAGCCTGTTCTGCAGCACCTCTATTCAGTTCTATTCTACTCAGTCTGCTCTGATTGGTTAGCTGGCCGCCTCTGTTGTGATTGGTCAACTGCTTAGAGATGTCTCTACCCTTAGCCTATCACGTGGGCCTTTTAAGATAACGTATTTAGTACAATACTTTAAGCATTTCTGCTGCGTTGTAAAGGCCCAAAATGTTAGTGTATCTAAAGCAGGGATTATTCTGCTCCTGTGCTACATTACATTGTATCAGTGGCTGCCATTTCCCTCATGAGGCATTCATGAATTATTTCCTGAAGTTGCTAGGGTTGACACATTTTTTTATCTGGGACAAGTGAACGGATGTCACTACTGCCAACTGACGGAAAAAGGGAGCAAACGAGTAATTAGTGCATAACTGTCTGCATGTAATTTACATATTAACCCAGGCCATGAGAATAATAAGACTGTCATGACAACTAAACCAGGCTGCAGAGCTGTGGAAGTACATGGAATGGATTTACCACCCAAACGGAGTTATTATCAGCAATAATGAGAGAGAAATCTACGACTGAGTTTATTTTAGCAGGCGCAAGCAAAGACTTCTCATCAATACAAGTCTTAGAAATCATCTCACGACTTCTGTTTCTGGGATTAATGCAATATGAAATTGGGTTGATCATGACATGAAGACTTCAAATATGAAAAACTAAGCTACCGTAATTTTTGAATAATATTTAAAGGTAAATTCTAGATCAGTGGCAACATTATTGACTCATATATTGAGTCATGTCCTTCCACGAAATGTCCAACTGTTAGTACTCTTATGTAATCTCAGTATTGTACATCACACTGCCATCTAGATGTTTTCTTGTGCAACCCGCTGCAGCATTCAGGAGTTCAATGCCTTGCTCAAGGGCATCTTGACAATAGGATTAATAGACATTACTCAAACAATCATTGCTCCAATCATAGCACTGACAAATGTTTGATAGCCCAATGTGACAGTAAAGTCTAAATAAATGTACTTGTATTACATTAATAAGGTTTTCCTAATAAAATGAGAAAAGCTTTAAATAAAAATCCCTTATAGCCCTTAGAAGAGATTAAAAACATCTTCACAAGAGAAACAAGAATAAAAACAAATTCAATAAAAGAGTTAGGATAGTAGGGGCACAATCCTAAACTAGTATAATAAAGGCATCCACCATTCCAAAGATTATGTATTGATGTGTACATTCTGTATTTAACTCAGCACATGTTTAATTCATTCAGGTTTAAATTTAATGTATTTATTTCAAGATGGAGATTATGACGTATTGACTGTCTGTTTTGGCACTGGAGCTCATCTCTCAGGACATTACTGCCATCTAGTGTTAAAACACTAGAACAGCTAAAACATTACAAAAACAAAATGTACTCACATCTTCATTCTTATATAAAATCACAGCCTGATCCACCATTTTGATGAAATCTGAGTAACAATTATTTTCTCTTTCTTCTTTGTTTTTAGATGACTGTGGTGTCTCCATGCACTCAGAACCTGATGGATAGTGCTCATCCTCACACTGTGCTCAGCAAGCTCAATGAGCAGCGCTCACAAGGCCTCTTCTGCGACGTTACCATCGTGGTGGAGGATGTGAAGTTTCGGGCCCACAAGAACATCCTGGCAGCCTGCAGCGGGTACTTCAGGAACGCTCTGACGAAACCTGAGACATGGAGCTCCGACCAAGTGCTGGAGCTGATGGACCTTAAGTCCGAGGTGTTTGCCAGTATCCTGAACTTCATCTACTGCTCAAAGGTGACATCGCCGGGTGTCGAGGACACACGTGTGCTAGTAGCAGCTGGAAAAAGACTTGGCATTCCTTTTTTGGAGAAGCTTGCAGAACAAGAGAGGCAGGACCAATGTGTGAAATCCACAGACGGCATCAAAGCCACAGTGTCAATAAAAACGAAACAGGAAGCTTCCAGGCCTGAGAACGTTGACAGGGGGCCACGCATCACCAACGCCTTCTCTATCAATGAAGTGTGTTCTGGGACCAATCTTTTCACCCCTCTGGTCCAAACCAAAGGGGAGAGGCAGTCTCCAGAGGTGGGACAGCTTCCATCAAGTTCTCCTACAACCTCCTGCCTCAATGTGAACAATGAGACAACCCACGCCCTCTCAGAGCACTCGTATGCAGTGATACAATCATTTGAAGGCAAAGACAGCAGTCAGTGGGATAACAAGAAGGTCTTTAAACCAGCAATATCTCAGTCAAAGCAACTCAGTTACAGGAACGCAGGTCCGCTCAAAAAGCGCCACAGGCTGAGACAAAATTTGTGTCGAAGTATACTTCCAAGACCAGCTGAATCGCAAGCAGATACACCAAATACAAAAACCCAGACAGAAGCTGATGGTGTTTCTAAAGCACCTGTTGCAGTCATGACCCCACCTCCTCTTAGTTCAGAAGCAGAAACAGACAAATGCAAAGGCCCCGGGCTACCAATAGCCACTGACAATGTTCAAATGGAGTTAGATCCACCAACCCTTTCCCCTCACACTGAAGAAAGCATTTCAATATACGGATGTGAACAATGTCCGGAGATATTCACAAATCAGGCTCTTCTCGTCGTTCACTCAGAAGTACATAAAAAACGTTTTATCAGTCATTTGTTTTGCAAGTTTTGTCACAGAAAGTTCATACACCTCAAACGGCTGCGCAACCACGAGCAGCTCTGTCCCAAGGCTGTGAGAAGATCGCCTAATCAGGATTCTTCTGACATATTAACCAAAGAGGTGGAACTACATTCAGATTCAGACGAGCCTAACACTGAGAGCAACGCAATACAGTTTCCTTCTGCTGACCTCTCCACCCCAGAGCCCCTTGAAATGGACCAATCAGAGCCTTCACAGGACGAGAAGGCGGTGAGACCAGGCGGCAGTCAGAGGAGATACAACTGCAGTGTGTGTAAACGCGTCTACATCACCTTATCCAGTCTGAAGCGGCACGAAAATGTACATTCCTGGCAGAGAGCATACCCCTGTCATTATTGTAATAAAGTGTTTGCATTGGCAGAGTATCGAACAAAGCACGAAATCTGGCACACAGGGGAACGCCGCTATCAGTGCATTTTCTGCCTGGAGACATTCATGACATATTATATCTTAAAGAACCATCAGAAGTCTTTTCACGGCATTGATCCTAATCTAGCTGTTAAGAAAAAATCCGCTAACGGTGGTTTGAAAGCCAGTGTTTATCCAATCAAACTCTACAGGATTCTGCCTATGAAGTTTAGAAAGAGAAAATACAAGACATACAGTCAGACATTTTCAGAGGTTGATGAAACAGGTGACAAAGCCCCGCCAGAGAGCAACTCTCTCATCCCTCCGTTTGAAGAAAAGGGTCTCATCAGTAAGTCTGACTCTGTTTCATTCCCTCTGACATTCATGGCAACTCCAAAGATGGTGTCACCTGTCATGCCACGCATCAGCTTTGACAAGCCATGTGATCAAGATGTTGACCAAAGTGATTTGGAAAGAAAAGAGGCGGAGAATGAAAATTCACCAAACATCGACTTTGAGTTTCCCACTATAAGTTTCAAAGGTGATCCTACAGTACTTAGTAACTCAGGGCACATCAGTCATAATGTGCCGTTCTTTAACTCTTTGAACACTGTTAAAAAGCTAGGTGAGCTATCAGCTTCTGCAAAAAGGGTTGAGGATATGACCAAGGAGCTTCTTCAATCAAGCAATGAGAATCTGGCATACGATAAAAAGGTAGGGGCAAAGACTGAAACATATATCGCCAAACCTGCGTGCCCGGGTCCATCTGTGGATGGTGCCACCATGCCGCTCTGTCAGATAACAGTGAAAATAGGCAATGAGGCCATAATCTGCCGCCAGATCAAAAGTTCCAAGCTCTTCCCCAGAAAGAAAAGGAGAATCAGAGAATTGGGTGAAGAGGAGAGCTCCAGTCAGTGTCTTCTAACACGGGAAACCTCGGAGAGCCCTCGGGTCCGACTGAGACAGGAAGTCGCTTCTGCCAAAGCGCATACGAAGGCATACGAAGATCCTAATGACTGCGACACAGCCGACATGCTGTGGCGCCCTTACTATTCTTACAAATCCAAAAAGAAAACAAAGAAGTTGAGGTTCAAGCACAGAAAGGCTTTGTTTCACGGTTATCCTGAAACATCTGTAGATAGAACGGCTGCAAGTGAGGCCCACATCGAGAAAAGTAGTTGGCTGATAGAAGAGAGCACGTCCGGTGGGAGTGGAGAAATGAAACGTAGCCTCAGCAAGAACTCCAGCCCGAGAGCCACCTACATCTGTGACATCTGTGACAGCTCGTTCATCACAGAGACAGGTCTGAGAGCTCATGTTATTGGTTCCCACCCATGTTTCTGTCGCACATGCGGTAAACAAGGTCCTCCTGGTGAGGCACCGGCCGGTGGGGATTACATCTGCAGCAGCTGTATGGAGAATGGCTCCTGCTTTGATAATACATCACGGAGCCCCAACCCAGAGAAGAAGTATCGCTGCTCCTTCTGTCCCCAACGGTTTCTTTATCTTGCCACCAAGAGAAGCCATGAGAAAAAACACAAGGAGACAAACGAGGAGGGATATAACTCTGACAACTTCACACCGTGCTCTCAAAACTCCGCACACCTGCGTGAAGATACGAAACAAGACATACAAATAGAAAACAGTGGCAACCAAGGGGACGCTGTAATAAAAAGTGAAAGAGTGGACGAAGAATATCTTTCCATTGATAAAATGAATCCTAAAATAGAGGACACGACAGGTGACTTAGTGTCTTTACCTACCGACCAAGACATGTCATACTCCAAAATTAAAAGTCCGTTATCGCCGTGCATCGGCACAGTGTTTTCCCTGACATCCTCCAGGGTGAAAAATAAAATGCCGAAAAAAAGGATCAATCCACAGGAATCTATGCATCTTGTCTCAAAAAAGCAAATCTGTGACAGAGACAGTGACGGCAACAAGGACATTTTGATGGGGCAAAAAACGACCAGTCACAATGATCTTGATCATTCCTATAAACTCTTGAGGAGAGATGAATCTGAAACTCAAGGTAGCCACATTTCTATACACAAGCCGGAGAAATGGACGTGCAAAGAGGAGCCATTTTTCTGAAGATTTCTGAGGAAATCAATTGGCAAAAAAAGACGTTTTGGTGAGGAAATGTAAGAGCGTTGTCTTTGCAGCCGAGCTTAACGAAATGTTTTTGAAAGGACTAACAATAAGGACCTATGGTGCGTACCAGTCGTACTGGGAAGTTGGAAATCATAGCTGTGCATGACGTCAAACAAAAGTTGAGGTGTTCCAGTACAACACGTCAGAAAACCAAGCTCTAGCCAGGTTAGCTTAGCAGTACGAGTTGAAAACAACGCAATATGCTCTATTTTACACACATACTCCGTAGCAACATGTCCGCTTATAAAAGTTGGACAATAATGTGTGTACGACTGTTTTAAGGGGACATGATTATGACAGGAGTTGTAATAGACTGTACATTTCTCAAACTGTTCAGGGTTGGTGAGCTTCTCCTCACTTTTTGAGCCAAAAATCCAACTCCAGCAGCAGGATTTTAGACCAACCAGGACAAATGCAATGCACCACTAATACCAGTATACGCTGTCATTTATTTTCCCTCCAGAACTCAACAACGGAGTGTTATTTTTGTTGATAGGAGGACCTTCTGAAACAGACTGCACTTTGTCTGTTGTCTATGCATATATGGCAGACACACTGGCATGACTTAAAGCAATTAAATAGGATGGGTACGATGTGTTGGAGAACTGAAAAGCTGCCTAGTGTGGTGACATCTTCACTTTTTACATATATATGAAGAAAACTGTATGAACTGTCACACTTTTAAATTTCACGTTCAGTTACCTGGCGTGAGTTGCACTTTATAGTTAGACTATGCTTATTTGATTGTTAAATACATTGATTGATATATTAAGATTTTGAATCAACACGTGGAACTATTGAGATGAGAGTAACCACTTATGTATGTTTTAATATGTATCAAACATGTAATAATTCAAATAAATGTTGTTGATATTATAAACAGTTACATCCTGTCCTTCTTTGGCCTGGTTCTGAATCAAATATAAATGACTCTCGACTCACAGTTTTTGACTAACCACTGACTAATCACACTTACTAATGCTCAGATAATAAAGAGGATCATTACAGACAGCTAAAACGTAAATGTGTGGAGTGGAACATTTTTAAAACAGTAGGATTTGAACGGTCGTATTTTCACAAATCCTGTTCAGAGCAAAGAATTTCCTAAATATAAACCCACATGGAGGTTATCCGCTGCTCCCGGTCCTTAAGGGACCTGCCGCCCATCTGAGAAGTCCATTCCCTCGTTCCACACACACACACACACACACACACACACACACACACACACACACACACACACACACACACACACACACACACACACACACACACACACACACACATACACACACACACACACACATACACACACACACATACCATGTATACATCACTTCAGGGGACATTACATTGACTTACATGCATTTCCTGGAGACTTATCCTAACCTTAACCATAACCAACACATGCCTAACCCTAACCCTAACCCTAATCCTAAACCTAACCAAGTCTTCACCCTAAAATTAATGATTCCCCTCATGGGGACCTCCAATTTGTCCCCATAAGGGAAGCCAGTCCCCACACGTGACTATGTAAACAGATGTAGGTCCCCACAAGTATAGTAATGCTAGACCACACACACACACACACACACACACACACACACACACACACACACACTTCAGGGGACATTACATTGACTTACATGCATTTCCTGGAGACTTATTCTAACCTTAACCATAACCAACACATGCCTAACCTTAACCCTTACCCTAACCAAGTCTTTAGCCTAAAATAATGATTCCCCTCATGGGGGACCTCCAATTTGTCCCCATAAGGGAGGCGAGTCCCCACACGTGACTGTGTAAACAGATTTAGGTCCCCACAAGTATAGTAATGCTAGGCCACACACACACACACACACACACACACACACACACACACACACACACACACACACACACACACACACACACACACTACATCTGTATTTAGAGTTGGGCCTCAAGACTCAGTTTCCAGATGTTTCTGAATTCCTTGCTTCTTTCTAAGACTTGGCGCGTGATGTAACAGATGGATCATGAATTTGAGGCACTGCTCAACACACTGCTTATGCCATGGAGGCTATTTGTCATTAGTTTAATAAAGGATAATTACTTTTTAAACGCTCATAGCAGCAATTCATGTAGTAAAACTGATACTGTTCCAGATTAAACGTGAGCAGCATTTTCAATTATGTTTCATTCATGACAAGTTAACTAATGGCATCAGGAGCCAACTCCGGCAGTGGCTCAGTCAGTAGGGGCTTGGACTGGGAGCTGTAGGGTCGCCGGTTCAAGTCCCCGAACAGACCTAAATATGGAGTGTGGACTGCTACTTGGAGAGGTCCCAGTTCACCTCCTGCCCTGCCGTGGTGCCCTTAAGCAAGGCACCGGACACCTCCCTTCCCCCCTCACTCCCCGGGCGCTGTACACTAGCTGCCCACTAGCTGCCCACTGCTCCTAGTATTAGACTCCTGGTACTAGGATGGGTTAAAAGCAGCATTACTGTGTGCTGTGTGCGACCATTAAAGAGGGTTTCATCCCTCCCAATTATATATGCACTTTGAGATAATAAAACCATTTTTTTTAATGTTAAATATTCATATTATTGTTTAGTAAGGAACGGGGGATATAATCACTGTATTGTACAACAGCTACTTTTGTAAAATATGATACAAGTCCAAGAGGGACTTCACATAATGATAAATAGTTCTTATTTTTTCGATGTTGTAAAACACTTTAGAAATGTTTTGTTGGTCTCATTTATTACGGGATTTCAAATACAAAGATGTCCTTTATAAAGCCTTAACTTAACGACTATATTAGATACAAAGACGCCATATATTTTATATTAATATTCATAATGTCACAATGTTTTTCGGATACGTTTGTGACATGATTTGCAGTTTAAAAGATAGGGCAAAAGTGATCTTAATATAAGTGCTGTAAACTAGTGCCACCTACATGTAAACAGGAGACATACATATACATAGATTAAAATGCATACCTGGTTGCCTCCAAGCCTTCCTGCTACTATCGGTGATGAGGATCGTGTCGTGTGTTTTTATCCAATCAAAACGAACATCATCTGGAAAGAGAGGAATATGAAATGATGTATGTAATGTTATCATCCAATGGGATTTGATTACTGATTGAGATGAATGTGAATAAGTAATTTTTGAATCTAAGATTTTGAAAACTTGTGCAATATTGCTTATACACTTGAAGTCCCCCCAAAAATCCCATACGTAGTATCAGCAGATGTTTTCTAATGAACCCACATAAAACATAATCTCCTTCCATGTATTATAATCTGTTAAAGGAAAAACATTTACCACAGCTACTCCTAAACTGCTATGTGTTCCTCTTATTGTGTAGTTTCTAAAGGCACCTAAATCTCGTACTCTTTGGTTGAAATCTAAATGTGCATTCATTTAGCCTGCCAACTTTTTCTATATCCCATAGCTGTGATGTTTGCAGATATTTCAACAGCGTCACTTTCCATCATTTGCTTCTGACCTTTGTGAGGTTTCTTTTGCAATATTGTTAACATCTCACCAGTTGCATAAGCCTGAAAAAAGGAGTGATAATTCATACACATATGCAGACAGTATTGGAAGAAATATGTTACTTAGATATTATACTCAAGTAAAATAGGCTGTTGTGATAAATCCTTACATTTAAAATCTAACTTAGATATAAGTAGACAAGTATTAGCATCTAGCTATACCAAAATGACCAAAAAGTAAAAGTTGTCTTTGTGCAGAATGACCCATTTCAGAATCATATTGTGTGTATAGTGTGTGAAGTTACTGAATCTTTCAAATTGAGGTATAAGGTGGAGGAAAAGGTGCAAAATAAAAAGCACATATGGAAATAGGCCAAGTCAAGTTCAAGTAGGCTACCTCAAATTTGAACCTTAAGGTGTTGAATGTTAATGCACATTTTAAAAGTGCCCTAGTCAGCTTTAGGGACATTATCACTTTGTTGTATTCAATGATTTACAATACATTTTTCAATAATATTAGTAAGTGGGCTAAATTAAACATGTATTGGAGTAGTAGAATATGAAGCTTATATTCGAAATACTCAAGTTAAGTACCTCAAATTGAACTTAATGAACTTAACAACTTCCAACAACTGAATACAGGCAGTGTTAACCAAAAAAAAACATTATTATATGTTCTTTAAATTAGCTTAATATAGCTAGCTGAACTTCTCCACAAGTCAAAGTAGTCCTCGTTGAGCAGAGCATTGGCGTTGGATAATGAGAAACACTAAATACAGGTATTAAATCCCCTGTATACACTCCTACCATCTACCTCCAGCATGAAGTGCTCGTGTTTAGAGGGAAGCTTATATTCCTCCACACGTTTTAAAGCAGCAGTGTGTGCGGGACGGTGACGCGGCAGTGGGGCTGGCTCTCCTCCGCTCTGCCTGCTTCATAAACGGATATGAGAGAGCAGCACCGGAGCGGCAGTCAACGCTGACCATGGCGGAAGAGGACGACGCGACGGTTAGGGTTTTACAGAGCCTGCGGGGGAAAATATGTAAGTCTAACCGGAGGGGATGCGATGTTTCCCGGCTCTCACAATGAGGAGAGGTCGGTGGGGAGAAGCTGGCGGAGAGGGGAAGCCGGAGGGGCGCGGCGTGCCATCAACAGTGTGTGTGGAGGCAGCGGTTGATCTGGTCGGTCTACTGGCTGTTGTTAGGTTAGCTTAGCATGCTAACAGCAGCAGCAGCCCGATAGCTTGTTGTGGACGCTGTGGAGTTAGCCTAGCATGCTAACATCAGCCTGGTAGCTGCTTGTTGTGAACGCTGTGGAGTTAGCCTAGCATGCTAACAGCAGCCCGGTAGATTGTTGTGAATGATTTCATTCATGGAGCCGCCGTCAGTTGTTGCTGTTCTAGCCCACTGGGTGTTTGAAGCATATTTGAAAATTGAACCGTTTTCAAAATAAGGCTGTTTTTATTGTGTTTGTGGATTTGTTGTTTAAAGCTAGGTTAATGTTGGTGGGAAAGTAGGCTAGCTTACTAACATAGTAACCAAGTATTTAGGGGGACTTGTGATTTACTTGAGTATTTAAATGTGTTGCTACTTCGTATGTCTACCCCACTACAATTCAAATGTTAATAGTGTACTTTTGCTCAACTACATTTATTTAAAACCTTTAGTTACTTTGCAGATTATATAATCAACACTTAAATAAGACTTTAGTTACGCCTGAAGTAACAATAACAAGCTAGCCTGCAGTATGCACATATTTAAAATAAGCTGCACCTTTAACAGCTCTGATAACAGTCAATGCATGACTTTTACTTGTAATAGCATTCCTACTCTCTGGTACTTCTACTACAATAATTTGAGTACTTCTTCAACCTCTGCTTACTAACAACCGCTTTAACATAATGGATAGAGACTTAATTCATTCAAGTTGGGAAATAGTTTTTGTCACCGCAGCATTTTTGACAGCAAGAATTACATAAAATAAACCTTTTATAAGCAAATATATATTCACATAAAAAAGACATACATAACGAAGAGTATCTAAGAATACATACTATAAAATATACAGATTACATGAGAATTCTCTCTAATATAGCAATCTACTAAAGACATATACAATACACAATACAATTGTGCACTGTAGCTTTTCATTAAAAGTAAAATATATCCTGTGAGGAAGTGTAAGTAGGCTACAACATGTATGTGCACATTTTTCATGATTATAGAAAGGGAAACCTATGGAGCAGTGAGTTCTCTGTCAGAGTTGTTGTATAGTGAGTATATGTACTCACTGCAGCTTGTTTTTTCAGCAAAGACATAACGCTGTACTGTAAAGCATATCAAATAAGATCTAAAATAGTTGCTCCTTTTTCATTGTTTAATCTCAAACAATCTTCTCAAGTGTTGCCACCTTTTTAAAAAAAGTTTAAATATCATTAACTACTGCCAATAACCTACATTGTATCGCATGGTTTTTTGATGAATAGGCGGCAGAAGACCCAACTGGAGGACTCTATTTTAAGTTCCGTCTCGACACACAGCTTTGCTCTCTGACCTGCATCTGGAGGCTTTAGTACAGAAACATTTATATGCAATCATCATGTCTCATTATGCAACACGAGACGCATGATTACAGCATCTTGGTGGTAGTACAGTAATACAAGAGTCATGCATGTGGGGTCCAAATCCAGAATGTTGGCTTCAAAGTGAAATGCCTCACAAGCCAATTTCCTCATCCTCTCATGCAGGCTGGTCCAGGGGAGTAGCTGCCTGTTTGAATGTGTAAATGTGTTTTCTTCTGCTACATTTCTCGACAGTAAAATGTGTATGGCTGATATTCAAAAGATGAAGCCATTACCAATGTTTTGCGATCAAATGAGGGTTCCCATTACATATATTTACTCATAGATATGCAGCATGCCATTTATATTATTCTCTGTTTTAACCCACATCCATTAGTGTACGACCACTGCTCCACCATCCTCTCTGTTGGTTACAACTAAGTTATTATGGTTAGGATTACATATGCCCTAGTGGCATTGCTTCATCTCAACTGGGAAAGTAGACTTCGGCGTTGTCAATCTTCAGACGAAATGAAAGCAGATTTTTAAAGTTGAATAATAATGATTATTGTTATTTAAAATATAGGCTCTGGTTGAGTAAGGCTAAGCACACAGTGGGAAGACAAATGTCAGTTTCACTACTATGAATTAATGTGAGAACAGTAAGCAGAACAAAATAGAGGAACTACCGTGGCATGTAACTCACTTTGCAGTCTTACGAAACTCCATTCTTCCTCGTTCACGCTTTGTCCTTTTTCCTTTAGCCTACATCGATGGAGGCATTCTGTAAAAACATAGGCTATCTTGGCAGCAGTTGTATGGTATTTTGATATATACCCTTGTTTGCCTCTTTGTCAGAATAAAAGGAGGAAAAGGCCAGTTGACTCAGCAGTGTTCAGCTGAGCTATTCTTTAGGCAGACTCTGACCTTTTGTTGGGTTTTCACAAGGTGACATGCTTCTGTTTTTACTGGAAATGTTGTTGAAGAGACGACAGTAGGGTTGGTTGGCTAAGTAAACTGTTTGTAGCTGTGTGCATATGTGATCGACTCCCACCAGGTAACCGTAGTCCAAGTTTAGAGACAGCTTGGCTATTTTCTCCGACCGTTCCTAAGATTAGCCATACACCGGCATTATTAATAGCCTGTTTAAAACGCTGATCTCACTGGTGGCTTTCCTTCATTAAGTCTCCAGCTGGGCTTAAGGTACCTATCCACTGCTATGGGACCAATTTAGACTCCTGCCACTCTAATCCACCTGTCCTAAATCGGTTTCACGTTATTGATAGTGCTACTTATCTGGCTTTGATTTCTTGTATGTTTGTTTCGTACAAAACCCCATGGCATACAATCTGGGACTGCCTGGGGATGTGATGGAAGCGTGTGTCGAGTGGTGTGAGTTTCAAAGGTGTTTGTCATTTCTGAATCAGCGCTCTACCGTCGTCATTGGTTATGCTAAGGAAGTCAATGTTTCATGTTTTTAACCACATATGAACCTCAAGTCTACATCAGCTACATCCGCTCTGCAGCTTGCCGAACTACTGGCAAGGGTCCCCATGTGAACATGAGGATGTTGAACATAAAAGTGTGTTTTTAAGATGTACTGTGTATGAGTTTCATCACATATGCTCCTATTTTAATATAATTATGTTGTACTTTGTGAGCTGGAGGGAAATTAACACATTTTACATCAGAATATTTCAAATCTTTTTTTTGGTGCTTAAGATTAGCAGTAGTAAAACTGTTAGCTAAACTTGAATTGATCTTGTCAATTGCAATACATTTGCAGAGCAACCTTTTGGGATATGATATGGCATATATTATAAATACCAATATGTCATTTTTGGCCCATAGGGGTCAAAAAAGTAAGACATAGTTTAGTGGCATTTTGAAGAAGCGTGCAATCATAGGAGTTGTTGTATTTACCACAAATGCCATCGTTGCCGTCAGCTCCTCCCTGTTGAGGATGTGGTTTTTACTGGAAGCTGAATAATCCGATGGGATCTTATCACTGAAAACAAATAGACCTGTTGATTTGAATTTAAATAAAAACTTAGAATAAAGCTGTTTCATGTTAAAAATCGGTGTTTCTCACTACCAACCGTTTTCCTGCCGCTTACGTTTGCTCACTTTGTTCCTCTAATAATTCAAGATCCAAGACTATAACTAAAATCCTTCGACCAGATAAAATAGAGTGAAACCTACTAAGATCTAAGAAGTATATGTGGCTTAAAATAGCACAACAATTACATGTATTACAACACTAACTATGCATGCATCCCCTTTGTAAGCAACGAAATAAAACGGCCCATAACCCTGATTTAAACTGAAATCATTATTTAGGTTTCCAATAGTTGGAAATATTCGGGACAATGTACGATTTTACAAAATATATTTTGATGTGGCTTGGTATACCCTTTCTCTATAGGAATTAAAACGGGTATAGTTAAATCATGGGTAAAAAAGAAAGGCACCCCTTTTTGAAGGTTTTTTAAATGTTTTGCTCACATGTCATTTAGTTAATTCTCAGTCAAGTTTCCCATAAGATTTACTTACAACTTAAGACTGAAGGGAGGTATAGAAATGGGGAAATTCGATTACATAGCAGAGGTGGGGATTGTCCAAAACCCATATATGTACCAACGGAAGTACGCATGTGTCTTTTGAAAGGATTAAAAATGATGTCACTTTCCTTTTAACTGGTAAAGGCTATTGCTGTTTTAATGCTTCAGTCGAGATATTAACGATGTCTTTGTTCTGCAGGTGAGGCTAAGAACCTGGGTCCACTCTCGGGTCCAAATCGACAAAGAGATCTCTGCACCTTCTGCACCATAAGTCTGGATCAGGAGGAGGTGTTTCGCACAAAGGTGTTCGACAAGAGCGTCAGGTAAGCAACGTTACCTCTGCATCTCCTACTATACCTCTATCCAGGTATACACCCAGACCTATATTCAGTTTTACAGCTGATACTGTACAGGGAGGGGTTGATAACGATACAGTCAAGTTAAACATTACACACGTTTATTACGTGTCATAAATACTGAATTACACCACACATTCTTAAGTGACATAAAATGCCACTGAACTACATAATTACTAAGGATGTGGTCAACAGTTATTTTGAAGGTGGTGTCTGTGAGCAAGAAAGGCCTATAGTTTTATTTTAGATGTATAATATTAAGCCTATTATAAAATCAGAATGCATTTTTTTGTTATCCCGGGAGGTGAGTTTCTTGGCATGTAGTCCATTTTTAAATACAATTACTAGAAAAAAAATATATAAACACAAGAACTTTTACATTTTTGAAATGTTTATGAATGCATAAGAAATCAAAGTGAAAATAAAAGATAAACTAGTACACATTATTTATAAAAAAAACAACAAAAAAACAGTTATTTGCAAATAATACGATATATAAAAACACTAGGGATGCTCCGATCGCCAATTTTGGGGCCGATCGCCGGAATCAGTATCGGCCGATCCGATCGAGTGGGCGGGGCCTATGGGGATCTTCCATTTAAAGTGATGTTTAAAACTCAGTTAATGCTCATTCACTGGCGCTTCCACAAACAACAACCAACGTCATTATTACATTCAAATGAAGTACATTATTCAAGCTTACATTAACTTTGGAGAATAACACGGGAGAAAATCTCTCTCTCTCTCTCTCTCTCTCTCTCTCTCTCTCTCCCTCTCTCTCTCCTGACAGCCTGACAGTATCTCATGCAGCTCGCTGATCCAGTAATGAGTGACCCGACAGTGAAGAATAAACATATTTATAACTAGTGTAGCTAGTTCCAGAGGTAGATAAAATAGCTAAGTGTGTTAGGTCTAACTCTTACGGCCCGTCCACACAGCAGCTTTTGGCGATTTGTCCACCGCTTCCAGCGCGTCTCCGCCCATTGACTTTGAATGGGGATGACGTCACTTTCCCTCGCTTGTCGCCGAACTGCATTGTGGGGGGGCGAGGCGAAGATTTCCAGGATTTCCAGGATGTTCAGGATTCCAAGGTTGAACAATGTTCAACTTTTGAGGCTGAGCTGGAAGCGACAGCCAATCAGATTCGTTTATGCAAATCTGACAGTAGAAGCGCTAGCCAATCAAACCGCGTGTAAGCAGGGAGAGCCAGACCGCAGTTAATTTCCTCATATTCCAAACGAGAAATTACGGTAGCAAATCACCCGGTTCTTTACGACCAGAACTATTTACCGGGATACAAACCGGAGGAACCAGGCATGGAGGGAGGTGGCACAGACAGTGGGTGAAACTGGTAGGTTTTCACCTGTTTGGGGAGTTTTTATATATATATATTGCTCGCATAAAATCCCCGTTTTTTGTTGCTTTGTATGTCGGGGGCGGGAGATTCATGTGATTGGTTGTTGGTCGTGTTGCTCGCAAAAAATCCCCAAGCTGTCAGACACGCCCAGCTCCAAGATTTTCAAGATTTGTTCAAAGCTGCTGTGTGGACGGGCCGTTAGCGTGTGTTTGTTAGCTGCAGGATTTCTGCTTCACACACGTTGCATACCGCTATTTTACTGTCCTTTTCGGACACCTTAAAATACTGCCAGACCGGTGAAGCCATTTTGGCGAGCTTGTTTTGCCGCGCACAGAGAAAAGTGTCATGTATTTTACATCATGTGATCGGCTCTCCCGATCGGCATTTATAGAGAGCACCGATCGATCGACAGAGTGAGTATCGGCCGATATCGATCGAAGCATCCCTAAAAAACACATATGTACAATTTTTTAAATATTGTAGATAAACAATAACAGCTTTTCATATCTTTCTAAAAATTGTAGGGTGGTATTATTTGTCAAACTATTAACTCTATTTGAAAAATAAAGAGCAGTAAAAAGTTTGCATTTAAATATCGCTGCCTATTACATAAAAGTACTGCCAGTAAGTATTCATTCACATACAAAACAAAAAATGTCCACACAGTTCATCAGTTAGGGGAGAAAATAATATTATGGGAAGTGTCAAAGTCTTCAGTGTGACGACGTGACTCAGAAGAGGAATGATTGCAGTTGTGTTTTATCATGCAGTCCAGTCATTACTCATCTTCATCAAGTATTGTCGGCGATATCCAGGAAGGAATCCATCCTCCTGTATTTATGTGGGCGAAGTTTCAGGCTCTTTTATTTCCTCCTCATTGTTGAACTACAAGTGAACCGCGTCGTCGTGGATGTGTAGCTTACGTTCCCGTCAACCGATCAACATGCCAAGCTCCAACAGTTTTACAAGAGTGAGGATTTGCTGCTATTATGTCATCGTGGAACTTCGAGGGTCATTTGTTTATTTTGTCTTATTTTTTTAAGGAAGATGAGCATTTGTTTCAGAATGATTTTAAATCAGCTAGGGAGTGCTGTTACGAAAACTGAACCTTTTCCTTTAACTAGAACCTATATCTGCTATTGTTATTCTAACCGCCATAATAATTGAAATACATTTCAGGATAATATGCTACATGTGTTTTAGGAACTACTTTAATTTAGTTAAACATTTAGTTACCCAGCTGTAATGCTCATTTCCAGGTTCATATCAGTATGTAGTAGTGCTGCTAAATTAATCGTATTTTAAACGCAATTATGGTTTGCAACAATTACGAAAATAACGTAATCGAAATAAAACGAATATTTTTTTATTATTACTTATTTTTTTATTGGTTTTTCAGTTGAATTATACTTAAAGTTCAGAGTAATCAACTGTTCAAAACATACTGTTCAAAAAAAAATTCTCCAATAAATTGATGTTTTCAAAGTAAATGGATAATCGTTTTTAATAATCGTGATATCAATTAGTGACCCGAATAATCGAGATTATGATTTTTGCCATAATCGAGCAGCCCTAGTATGTAGTGTCTCTACATGTCTCCATGCTTTAATGTTCAAAAAGCTCTTTATTGTTCTCATACTGCCTGTGCTGCAGCACCTCTTCTCACCCTCTGTCTGAAACCAGAGCCGAGTCTGCTCTGATTGGTTAGCTGGCCGGCTCTGTTGTGATTGGTCAACCGCTTAGCCATGTCCCGCCCCTTAGCCTATCAAGTATAATGTGTTGGAGGCTAGCCAAAGACTAACGCGCCTTATTTGACACGAAACAATCTAATCAGTTTGTACGTTTTAGGTTACATGCAATTTCCACTTTGTTGTGTTGGAGTGCGAAATCTTTAAATTATATTTGTGAATCTTTATTTAAAACATTAAACTTTTGTGGAAGTTACCTGGACTTCTGAGTTGGGATCTACTGGATGAAGGCTGCACCAATGCTCTTTTCCACTGTCTTCGGCCAGGTCATCCTCAAAAGAAGCGCAAGTGTGACCTAGTGATGTCACTATGTTAGAAAGGAGTCCAATAGAGGCGTTTTCAGCGGCGGAGTGTTGGCAGTATTTACTTACATTTTGAAGATTGAAACTTGATGAGTTTTTTTTATAGCATACTTTTGAACTAGTCACTTATTTTCCTTAATATATAACACAGGTTGCTGGGACTGTTTTTAAAATAGAACTATTGGCTGCTTTTATTCCTTTTGTAATTTAGTTACGAGTTAAATTCATTGCATTTCACTGAGAGAAAATAGAAAAACAACTTCCTGATACAATCTCTCATGTGGAAACATTTATACTAAACTCTGGACAAGTAATGTGTGTAGCTGGCCGATCATGTGAGAAATGTCCGGTTGGAAATTCATTTGATTACATCTTACAAACTGACTCAGAGCTGCATGTGTGCAGGGGACCATTTGAACTGCTGGGAAACATGAAGTGATTCAGACTGAAATGGGCTATTTTACCAGTAGCTACATTCGCTTCAGAGGAAGGTGTGGGAGACGGGTAGCACTGAAACCTTTTAGGTTTCTATCTACATCATTGCACATCTCACTGTAAACACGAGCCTAGGTATTTCACAACAGCTCTTTTATTTTTTCTGCTGATTTCGGTGCGGTTCAAAAGGATTTTACAATCTCTGAGGAAGTGTGTCCTCCCACGCTCTCCCCTGTCTTCCTCTCTGTGTCACTCAACTACCTTAACCTCTCTTTAGCACATCCTAATAATCACTCCAATTTGTTCCATTGTGTTTTTTATTTGGTGTTTGACTCATTCCGGTTGTATATGCTCCAGTTTCTAACGGTTTAAAGGCTGTGTGGACGCTCTAATTGCAGCTAATCCATGGATAAAGCACGCAGTTGTGGTTCTACCTAACTGTCTCACATTATTTCAATGATTTGGATGCAACAGAAAGCAAGGTAAATGGACTGTACTTAGATAGCGCTTTATCCAGTCTTTAAGACCCCTCAAAGCGCTTTACATACTACATGTCGTTCACCCATTCACACAGAGCAGCGTATGTTACTCTAGGAACTAACATTAACACACCGTTGGCCATCGGGAGCAACTCAGGGGTTAAGTATCTTGCCCAAGGATACATCGACGTGTTGACTGCATGGGCTGGGATCGAACCCACAGCCTTCTGGTTGAAAGACGACCGCACTCCCTCGCAGCCACAGTCCCCCCAGTCGAAGGTAGTGTGTGTTTGTGTGTGGTATAGGTGTATTATTCCATGTGTTTTGAGGAGGCTGTGTGGGTGTACTCTGGATGTGTTGGCCAAACCCAGTGCGGAAGTGTCAGGCGAGATATTTCACCATCCAACATGCATAAATTGTAGAGTGAAACATCAGTGCAGTGAGTATTTATCCAGATATTCACGAGGCTTAGTTCCAGGTCCTGATTTCAGAATTTGAAAACGGAGAAAGTTGAAAAGTGCAAGGTATTCGGACACATGACTCATAAACTCTATTAATGTTTGACAGGCAAACGCATGAGTAAGTAGCACTCCTTTTCTGCCAGGTATAGGTCTTTTTAAAACTGGCCAATGTAAAGAAAAAGCAAGTGTCTGTTAAGTTGAGCCTATTCCGGCTAAGCTTTAAACCTCCACACATCCATCAACTTAACTGGCCCAATAGGACTTTTAAAGAAGACATATCCTGCAAATGTTCAGGTTGATATTTGTATTTAGTGCTTCTACTCTGACACAGGGGGTGTTTCTCAATGTCGAGTACGCTTGCTTGGTAGCACATGTCTTCCGAGCGTCTTGCTTCAGAAGCGAGGCAAGAATACTTCCTGGCATTCGTAAAACGAAGAGTGGAACAGGCGAGCAGGTGTGCGTCATATGAGAGGCCCTGCCTTACATTTTCCACCACAGATTTGGGGAAATTGGTCCGTGCGCAAAGCATTGTGGGGATTTTAAGACCGGAGTCTACACATGTGCAGCCTCGAAATTTCTCCAAACGAAGTACGCCGGGCTTTATAGAATTCCAAGTATGCTGGACATTGGAACAGTCCTTCGGTGGCACTCGATGACATAGTATGCTTGAAATAGTGGCTCTGGGGCAGCTTTACTCGACATTGAGAACCACCCAGGGTCGGCTCTAGAACAAATCAAATGGGGGGGGGGGGGGGGGGGCAATCATTTACCACGCAACCAACACCAACGCAACTTCAATTTCAAAACATGCTGTAAAGTCTATTGTCTTTCACACACATTGCAGGGTGTAGTGCTATTTTATAGCGCACCTATGACTTGTGCATACATGATGCACGGTTGTGGCACGACCACCAAAACAGAAACATATGGACATAGAAGATTTTTTTTTTAAATATTGAAGTTATCAATCTGGTGCACTTTGAGAGCAAAATTAAGAGATCTATGGATACCTCTCTCAACACCCATATGAAACAGAACTGTAAGCAGATGTACTTTTTCTTTATGGATATTTTACTAATCACTCCCCTTTTAAACTGTACTCTTGTTTTACTGCCATATAGTATTTCCTACCTGTTTCATTTATTCTCTTATTTACTTGTACTGTATATCATATTATTTTTGTATAATCACTTTAACAAATGAACAGATCGCCACTCGGCTTTCATCGAAACACACAGCCACGTAACGTAGCCAAAACAAAGGTCGGGGGTCATTGGTCAAGCAACACACCAATCAGAGAGCAGCATTGAGCACACCTCAGGCTGTGTTTTATGTGTATTCTTTATTTCACACACATTTTTTTTTTTGTGGAAACTTTTTCACTTATATGAATTATTATTTATTTATTTTTAAACCCGGCAAAGTGGCAAGGCTTGCCCGCCCTGCGTTGGGGGGGCACAGTGACTCGTTTGGGGGGGGGTGGCCCACGAATGACCACCCCCCCCCCCCATGACGCCGACCCTGCTGTGACATGTCTCCATGCTAAAATGTTCAAAAAGATATTAATTTTGTGAACCTGTTGTGATTGGTCAACCACAATGTCCCGCCCTTTCATATCACGAAGAAGAGTGTGTTGGAGCGCTAGCCAATAGAAACACAAATGTTGCATAGTGATGTCACTATGTTCAGGAAGTAAAAGGAGTCCAAGGGAGTCGTTTCAGGCAGGGGGGGAATGTGTAGGAAGGACCTTTGGGATTTTAGCCTTTTGCAGACCATTTTAAATGCACAAAAGCCTATATAACAAACTACAGGAAAGGGAAAAGCCCAAAAAGCATAACTTTTTGAAGAAAAATAGAAATGACAGACTGACTGCAGTTTTACCTAAACATATAAACAGTGCGATTCAGTAAAACAGTCTAAGTTCAGTGTGTTGGGACAGGTGGTCAACCTGCTGGATGCACGCACCTTGAGTTGGTGCTTAACCTACAACCGGCTGTGTCACACACAGCCGGTCAGCTCTCGATGTCGGTGGTGAGGTCATCATGTTGGCAGGATTAGTGGCACAGATGCTTTTGTCCTCTGTTTCTGCCAGCTCCTGCAGGGCAGAGGGTCACGTGCTGAACCAAAGAGGTCTAACCAGGATGTATTGTATACTGTAGCACATGCTGTTTGAATGATGGCGTTTGTATGTTCTCTCTCAGTCTCTGCATGGGTTTCTTTATGTTGCTCAGGTTTCCTCACACAGTCTGAAGTCATGCAGGTTAGGTGCATTAGAAACTCTAAATGAGCTGTGAATGTGTTGGGTTTTTTGCAGAATAGGGCTGTATGAGTTGGACAAATTAAACGCAAGTACTTTTTAAAACAAATGAATTTTTTTTTTTTTTTTTTTTTTTTTTTTAAAGAGGATCTGTACCAAAGAATTATGTTTTGTAAAGTCTGCAAGATATGATTTGTAGGACCGGTAACCAAGCCCCCAGGATGTGCGCCGGACTCTGATGAAAATATTCGTTGTGTCCAAACGGCGGTACTACAACTCTCGTATCAGTCCGTGACGTCACTGGGCCCTGAAAGACTTTTCCCCATTGACTAACATGGGGAAAGAGACGTCTGCAAATCAGCGGATACTTTCAAAAAAAAAAAACTAAATAAACTACCCTGTATGAAGTATTTTATAGCCCTTATTAGAATCATTAGGTCCTTAAAGTTATAAAATGCACTAAATTATTTTCTCTCTCCATTCATTCTACTGAGCCGAGAGTGGGAGCTCCGGGGGCGGGGCTTAAGGGGCGCATGCTCTGTGAGCGCACATACGGGTTCTTCTGCTCTGACAGCCAGGCATGATGGGTAATCTGTGACGTTTCGTTCTCTCAAAAGTTGGGCCATTTTGTCGTCATGCGCCAATGAGCAGCTCTCATAGGAAAGAACGAGACCCCGCCTCCCACGCTGTATCCAGTTCTGATTCTGAACTGCCTCAATGTTCCCTAAATGGCACTTCTCATTAGTTTTAAATAAACCCAGATTTGCTCTTTTTCATTTGACTATCTAGATATAATTATGTAACCTTACAGATATGTAACCGCTCCAAGCGATTTCATTTTCCCATTATGTTTGACATAGGTTAATGTACAGGATTATAACATAATGGTCTTCCAAAGTAATTGTAAGAGGCATTGCACTCTGTTTGTCTGCATGTTAAGGAAATAACAAATAAGGTTTTAAAGAACATGGACGGCGAAAGTGATGCATTTGAATCCACAGCACCTGATGAGTCATCATGACTACCTGTGTCATCCACCTTCTGCTTTTTTCCCAGGAAGTGAACAAATCCTGTGTTTATGATAGTATTGCTCAGGTATGATGTCATTACATTTTCCCTGAAGCACAAAAACACATTTGTAAGGAATTACATTTTTTCGTACATAATTTAGAGCCATAAACAGAACATTAGATATTACACAATTATTATAACCTAACAGCAAGTCAAGCATATAATTAGGTTAGGTGGATGGGTAGCTGAGGAAATTACACATTTAAAGTTATTAAGTCAATTAAACACTCACACCATTAGTCAACAGATCTTAATGGTGGGGTAGGTAATTTTGGAGAAACCAGCTCGAGTGCGCTAGAATTTGAAAATACACAGCCGAAAAAAATCTGCCACTTCCTTACAGAGCCCCTCCTCCAACATACACGAAGGCGCACATGACCAATGAGAGCACGAGATAAGTTTGTGCCCAGATGGAAGGCTGACAGGCAGGTAGGCCATCCAGTTACTTTAGCCGGGCCGGCTCAGATGATTGGTCGTGCTTTTTACAGCGCCATGGCTTCCACAGATGATATTTTTTAATGTATTTTTATTGTCAAAGCATTTAATATATTCATTGCTATCGGGATGTTAAGAGCATTCCATGTCATTTGTTAGACGCTTTTATCCAAAGCGACTTACATACATTCAGTACTGTGGACAATCCCCACAGGAGCGATTTGGGGTGAAGTGTCTCAGGGACACAACGACATGCTGACTGCAGTGGGACTCGAACTTGCTATCCCCTGATTCGAAAGTCCAGCACACAACCCACTGAGCCACAGCATTCCATGGAATATAACAAAGTGTTTCTGAAGTGAATTACCGACCCACCTTTAATTTCCATTGCAGGTGACCTAATACATTTCTGAAAACTGAACAAGATTTTTGTCACAAATTCACAATAATATCGAGATCTTCAAATTCTAACTTTGCAGTTTTTATACACTTTTAAAAAAGGAGTTTAAGTCGTTTTCAAAAGCCAAACTCTGGTTCAGTGCACTGTCTGGTGTGGTTTGTTTGGACAGTTGTGAATGCAGTAATTACAATCTGGTGTTTGCATGGCATTAGACCGTTTGTGAGTTTCTCGCACCATTTCCAACCGAATGCTACGTCGGTTCAACTGCAGTGAGAACGTAAGCCCACCAAATAGCAGTGAGCCAATGTCCATGCAGTATCATTTGAGCTGATGGACACAGGTAAATGACGGGTTAACAAGAGTGGGAAAGGACTGAGTTGGACTAAAGCAGACATTTGATGTTTGCTTTACATCTGATCCGAAGAGAACATACAGAATAGCATTATTTGTAAGGAACACTTGACACACTGACGGTATCACCGAACATCTCTGTGGCGCGTTTTACTTCATGTTGCTCGGTTAATGTTTTCTCCATTTCCATGGCTACATTTCTGACCAGTAAGAATGACTTCTACCACTACTGTTTAACCCCTGCTCCTTTGTAAAAGCATTACCCTGAGCAAATTACATTTTGTACATGGGCTACATATTTGATTTGTGTACTGTGAAACCAAACCAGAAATAAAAAAACCCTAAATGACCATTTTCGCTCTAGTTTGGATTAAGAATGGTTAAAAACGACACCAACTCAATAACCAAGCCTTCACGATGAGCCATTTCTTGAATCCGGCTGTTGCCACTAATCTGTTTATCACACATTGAACCACCCACTACACACATTTGCACACCCCTTTTTTTTTTTTTTTAAACCAAAAGATGCATCCTTGTGTCCTAAATGAATCCTCTGTCTTTATTCACAGCCCCTTCTATGGAGAGGACTTCTACTTTGAGATCCCTCGTCCATTTCAGTGTTTATCCTTCTACGTTTATGCCAAGAGCGTTTTCCAAAGGGACCTACCTGTTGGTGAGTTTCTTTAAGCACGGCACTGACACAAACATGTTTTCTTATTCAATTTAGAACTCTGTAGTTTAATGTGTTTGTCTTTACAGGCAAGGTGTCAATCAGGAAGGATGACCTGGCCAAATACAGTGGAAAAGAGCATTGGTGCAGCCTTCATCCAGTAGATCCCAACTCAGAAGTCCAGGTAACTTCCACAAAAGTTTAATGTTTTAAATAAAGATTCACAAATATAATTTAAAGATTTCGCACTCCAACACAACAAAGTGGAAATTGGATTGCATGTAACCCAGCGTTTCCGCCAGGGGGGCGTCTTGCCGTCATTTGACGACCTTATTCAGCTCGGGACGCCCTGAACTCGAGGCGAGGGCATAAAAAAATAAAAATGTTATCGTTTTGAAATGACAAAAAGGACATCCCTCTGTTGGAGGGGCAAAGGAGTCTGGTGGGATTCTTTTCGCCGCCAGCAAAGCGTGTTCCTGTGACGGAAAGTGTACTGCCGGCGAGACTTGACGGGGGGGTGCTAGTAGAGCAAGCGCGTGAACTGCGAGCGCCGGAGCCTCGCAGCGGCAAAACTGAGGCTCCGTGGTAAACTGTGGTAACATGAAGAGCCGTTTAGGAGCCGAGCCAAATGATCCGGCTCACTAAAAAGAGCCGGAATTCCCATCACTAATACGTAAAGAGAGAGTATCTATAAAAGGGACGGCTCAATTCAAAATTCAAGTCACGCGACACAACGTGACGTCACACCTCCCGCTCTCGGGGCGGACGCCCTCTCAGCCCTGGTCTGGCGGAAACACTGATGTGATCTAAAATGTGCAAACTGATTAGATTGTTTCATGTCCAATAAGGCGCGTTAGTCATGTTTCAACAGCGCTCTTCTATTGGCTAGCGCTCCAACACATTATACTTGATAGGCTAAGGGGCGGGACATGGCTAAGCGTTTGACCAATCACAACAGAGCCGGTCAGCTAACCGATCAGAGCAGACTGGGCTCTGGTTTCAGACAGTGGGTGAAAAGACACACGGGCAGTATGAGAAAAATAAAGAGCTTTTTGAACATTAAAGCATGGAAACATGTCACAGTAGAGACACTGAATATGAATCTGAAAATGAGCCGAATAAGGCCCCTTTTAAAATGTGTATACTGCCTAAATCAAGGCTAATATAATTGTATACAAGTTTTCTATGATTATTGGTTCTTAATAGTTGTTGGAGTTGGTAGCACCTACCTAAAGTACTAATGCTTATGATTCTATAGCTATAATCTTGACATATCATGTTTTTATTTTGGGTCCATGTCTGCCTTTTTTAGTGTCGAAACCTTCATCTGCCTTTCAGCATTTTCTTCATCTTTTTTTTCAGGGTGCAGTTTCTAGTTTATTTCGCATATAGGGCATGTGGGTTGCCCTATTTCAACTGTACATGTCTTTTATCAGATATTTTTTGCGGTGTGTTTGCGCTGGGTGAAACTACAGCTCACTACCACTTCTGTGCTGCTGCAAGCTAACGTGTTGACTCGAGCTGCCATTAGCCCACGCCAGACTATTCTGGGTTTGTGCTGCTACACTGATTCACTCACAAGTAGACACTCTAAACTGCAAAGTCAGTGAGAGAGGGAGGAATTATTGCAATACCTCTCTGGCTTTTAGTCAAACGGCTGTTATGTGAGCAGCTTTGTTCCAATGGAGGTAATGAAGACAAAGGTACAACGGCTTTTTGAAAAGGGAGGATATATAAGTAAATATAATATTAGCTTAAAGGCCTATCTTGCATCAGAGAGAGAGAGAGCTGCTTGCCTTCTCAGCCAAGTACTGATTTGCAGAGGCAGAGTGCAAGTGTGTGGGCGTTTTGTTTAGCTCTGTCTCTCTCTATATCTCACTCACTCTCTCCGACACTTCCGAAGGCGAGACCGGCAGCCTTCACCACATCCGACCCCGTAAAGATCTTTTATGACTGATGACAAAATGTGCAGCTGCTGTGGCTCTTGTCACACACTTGTACCAACATTAACCTAAAACAACATGAGGCTGAGACCGGACACATGAGAGTAAAAAGACCCAGAGAAATATTTAAAACAAAATGCAATTACTAAATGTTAATTACTGGATTATTGATGCATTCATGTGTTCACCACAGCTGGACAATGTGGTTTGAATTACTGACTGCTGGACATTTTAACTTATTATATGTCAATGTTTTTTTTACAAGTTGATATTTTGTATTACTTAAAATCTGGAGTAAAGAGTACAAAATGTATCCGAGAAAATAGTGGTATTGAAGTATAAAGTAGCATAAATCTACAAAACCTAGTTAAACTCAAGTAGCTCAAATTGCTCTTAAGTGTAATTCCATACCACCACTGCACATGTTTCTATCTCATGTCACATCCCTTATATTAACCTGGGTTTTGATTTGAAACCTTTATGTCGTAGTTTAAAACACAGACGTGATGTTTAGAGTAACTGCTCCCTCTCTGCTCCTACAGGGAAAGGTTCACTTGGAGATGCGGCTGAATGAAGTGATCACAGAGAACGGATCAGTGGGTCAACACTTAGTGGTCCGGTGAGTACCATCACATCAGACTTCATTTAGCTGCACTTACAAAAGCCAAGAGTACCTCGTCTGAGAAGCCATGTCTGATCTTGTCTTATAAACTGGGAATGGTTGCTATTTCTATATTTTATGCAAATGTAGTATTGCATATTAAAGGTGGGGTATGTAATTCACTTCAGAAACACTTGTTATATTCCATGGAATGCTCTTAACATCCCGATAGCAATGAATAAATTAAATGCTGTGACAATAAATCCATTATGGAAGCCGTGGCGCTGTAAAAAGCACGACGAAGTAACTGGATGGCCTACCTGCCTGTCAGCCTTCCATCTGGGCACAAACTTATCTCGTGCCCTCATTGGTCATGTGCGCGTTCGTGTGTGTTTTTTCGGCTGTGTACTTTTAAATTCTAGCGCACTCGAGCTGGTTTCTCCATTCTTACCCTACCTTTTTAAATGCTGTATTGTAAACAAGTTGAATTTTTTTTTTTTTTTACATTACATATCATTTGTTAGACGCTTTTATCCAAAGCGACTTACATACTCAATACTGTGGACATCCCCACAGGAGCCATTTGGGGTGAAGTGTCTCAGGGACACAACGACATGCTGACTGCAGTGGGACTCGAACTTGCTATCCTCTGATTCGAAGTCCATCATACTATCCACTAGGGATGGGAATTTGAAAGCAAATGTATATTCGAATATTCGACCCCCAAAAAAACGGTTAACCGAAATGTATATCCTATAAAAAAAAATGTTGACAAAAAAATTAATACATGTTCAAATAAGTAAAGAAACCAAGACGAATTAGTCAAATGTATTGAACTGGTGATCACAGTTTGAACAGTTGACAGCTATAGGCCTACAGCTTTCATGCTTAAAACATAACTTGGTTTTGAAATGAAAGAGGGATCAGACACGAACATCATAACGGGTTAGGGTAACGTAACCCTATCACAACAGAGATCAACAACCTATAACAGGGCCTATGCACAGAATGCAGCTATTCAATACTCATTCTTCTTTAAGAATATGAGCATGTCTACTCAGGGGAGAGGCGGGTGCAGAGAGGATTCACAATCAGGCCAGCTGTAGAGAAGACCCTCTCAGCTGGGATTTGGGCATAAGATGAGGTTTGTCTGCTTGATCTGCGTGTAGGGAGGGGCAGCAGCCGTATCATTAGCTAGAACTAGCGAGATCTGATGGATTTGGACATAAACGCAAGTGAAGTACAGTGTTGTGACTAACGCGTTACTTTGTCACGCCGTTATTTTTGACAGTAACTAGTACTCTAACGCATTACTTTTTAAATTCAGTAACTCAGTTACCGTTACTACATGGTGCGTTACTCCGTTAATTTTTTGGTATATAGTCAACAGCCAGGCGAACAGAGATGAGAACTGTACTTAAGTACAGTACTTGAGTAAATGTACTTGGATACTTCCTGTGTCACATGCGGAGACGCGCTGTGGGCGTGTTTGTGTTGTTTACTAACAAGACTATCATGTCGGCGGCGGAGCTCAAGTCTAGTTTCTCCACCTGGAGATATTCTCACTATTTCACTTTTGTCGAGCACAAAGAAAAGAACGTTTTAGTTAAATGTAAGTTGTGTCTTGGCGGGTCAAAGATCCTATCTACTGCCCTAACCAGTCATTCAAATCTCTTAAAACATCTGCAAAAACAACATGCTGGGACGAAGCTAGTAGCTAAGACCACAGAGACTCAGCCGACGCCACTCCACCTCCACCTAACCAACAGCGGCTGGATTTTAACCAAGGGACTGCTAGCCAGGGAAAAGTCGATAAAGCCATTGCACGGTATGTTGTAGAACACATGCAGGCTATTGCTACAGTGGAGTCACCCGCTTTCAGGGAGCTAGTTAGCATGATAGCATGTCCGGGCGGCACATATGGGACGGAAAACTTTTTCCAACTACCTGGAGAAAGAATATACAAACATGGAAAGCCAGCTAATATCGATGCAATCCAGATTGCATATAATGCATGTGAAGTTGATCAACAGATTGTTATTCTCCAATGCAATAACAGTACTGAAAGGAAGGCTATAAGGGCATTAATGGGAGCCCTTTTTACAAGTAACTAAAACGTTACTTTTCACAGTAACGCATCACTTTTGGGTGTAAGTAATCAGTAAAGTAACTGAGTTACTTTTGAAATGAAGTAACTAGTAATGGTAACTAGTTACTGGTTTTCAGTAACTAGCACAACACTGGTGAAGTATAACCGGAGAGAGATCAGCACCTGCAGCTCTGCACACCTTTAGACCTAACACACTTAGCTATGGCACATTGAATTATTCCATTTGATCATATGTAATCAACTTGGGCACCTCTCCCTAAAAAATAAATTAATAAATGAATAAAAATATTCATAACTCATATTCGAAAACCTGAATAATTTTGAATATTCGATCAATCGTTCCCATCCCTACTATCCACTGAGCCACAGCCTCCAGACACTTTTGCGGTGTTTTTTTTTGCATTGTCCAAAATACGTTTGTTTACTAACTGGGACCCTGAAAAGCCGAATACATTTTCATTTAACTTGCATGGCGGATCAGATGTCGACATCTTCCCAAATATTACAATTTAAAATTCTTCCTTAAAATAAAAAACATACAAATGCAGGATAATTTTATGGTTTCTCCAAAATAGTTTCTCTTAGTAGTTTGTTTTGATGGGAAAACACAACATGTCATTGTCCTAATCAGACACTGCCCTAAGGGGCGTTTTCGTACTACTATAGAAATAAACAAAATGTGTATTGTATCTTTTGTTCAGATTCAACAACAACAATGGCTCGCTTCCTCTGAACTATATGACCTACAGCCACTGAGAAGATTTATATTTGTATACGTATTCTTATGGATTATAGGCACACGTTTTTAAAATATGTAACCTCAAAATTGTGTAGAAAAAACAAATTGGGAGGATTTGTTATTAGTTCTGAGAATGAAACCAACGATGTGTTCGAGTAGTTATCAAAAAGAAGTCTTCATTGATAAATTCAAATTACTCATCTGAACTTTCCGTGGGATGTTTGTGTCCCATTACTTTATCTATTTCTGCCCAGCGTTTGACTTCAAGAAGTCGTCACTGTTGCCACTAATGACACAGGAGGCTGTCTGCTCAAGAGAAAAACACTCATTAAAGGTTGTGCTTGAGCATGTATACACACATTTACATCCAAGTATATGTGCGTACGTGTGAGACCTCATGCTGTTTACGTCGGTTGTTTTGCATCCCCCATTCATACTTGGAGAGCGGGTTAATGAGTAGGAAGTGATGGCATCTGAACAGGAAGTCTCGCCTCTCACTCTGCAACCGCTGCGGTTTTCTGCTGCCGTCATTCACTGCGCCTCTCAGATTGTTTGCTTAACCTGTCGCCCGCTCGCTTATCACTTGCACACTTCCAGCCATCCTGTTGCAGCCAGATTAGTCACCAGAGATGTCCAGAGCACTCGGGGAGATGGGGTTAAGTTAAGGGATGCAAAGGACACTGTAGGGAATATTGTCATGGCGCCCTGGAAGGTGATACACAAACATCCTGATCCTGACTATCTCCCTCCGGCTTCACTTAGTGACGGCTGTATTCATCCTCACTCTCGGGTGACTCGGGCTTAGCAGCCACATCCTGTTTAGGGTGCCTACAGTGTCTGTTTGTTGTCACATGAAACACCTGTGAAAAAAGCAGTGGTCCCTGTGTGTCAAGAGCCAAACATGAGAGCACAGCACTATGCCTCTCAATGAAGACCGACAACTCTGCTGTTTTATATTGTTGTCAAAATGTCTGTTTGGGAATTAGAGAGGACGTATTCTGCTCATTTTCAGGTTCATGTTTGTATGTTCTGCCTCTGAAATGTCTCCATGCTTTAATGTCAGGGTTCTACGGTCATTACACATCTGGAATAGTCATGGGAATTCAAAATGCTAATTCCAGGCCCTGGAAAAGTTATGGAAAACGATATTTTTCCCAAAGTTTTGGAAAAGTCATGGAAATTTAACTAAAGTTGCATCAAATATAATTTAGATTTTATCCATCTAATAAATACTGTATCGTATAGTAATGAAACGTAAAATGGCATTTAACTGACGAGGTATTTTACTGGTCAGAGATTTTAGTTGCTTTAGCGCGTAGAAGCTGGTCAGCCTTTCATTTGATTTGTTTTAGATAGGCACGACATGTTTCATATGCAGACCTTATTTTCCTGTTCCATGTTAAAATAAACCATTTTCAGTGGAACGCTGAGAAAGAGTCATTGTTTTGGTCATGGAAAATTAGGTAAAGGTCCTGGAGAAGTCATTGGTGAAAAAGTGTATGAACCCTTTAATGTTCAAAAAGCTCTTCATTGCTCTCATACTGTCTGTGCTGCAGCACCTCTTTTCACCCTCTGTCTGAAACCAGAGCCCAGTCTGCTCTGATTGGTTAGCTGGCAGGCTCTGTTGTGATTGGTCTTAGCGATGTCCCGCCCCTTACGTTATCACGTACAATGCGTTGGAGCGCTATCCGTGTTACATAGTGATGTCACTAGTGTGTGGGAGAGAAACTTCCTCTGGATGGAACACAGGGATTGTATCCTGTGTGTTGATGCCCACAGCATTTAATACCGATTTAATTAAATGTTCAGTAGTCGTATGTTTAGTGCACCGTCATAAATGCACTTTTTCTTTTTTTCAAACCTCCATTGGTTCTAAATAAATATACTCCATGCTCATAAAATTCAGTCTGCAGAGGGTTAACAGCAATAGCATTTCCGCTTTGCTGTCTGTTGAACCAACAAAAAGTGTATTTACCATTCATGCTTTAAAATCTCTCCCAAGGTCTGGGTCACTTTAAACTCCTTTTATTCATAACGGCTTGAAGTGTTTCATTATTACATGACTTTAAAATGAGTGATTTGACCACCACCCTGCTATAATAAACAATATGACTGACTTTGAACTGGTAATTATGCTGTCATTTAAAACCGTGCACAGTATTTGTATTAACTGTGTCCCTCACTGTTTCCTGCAGGATAATCGAGTGTCAGGGTTTGCCTCTGATCAGCGGGCAGAACTGTGACCCGTACGCCACCGTGTCACTCGTTGGACCTGCCAGGTAACTCATTAAATACCACACATATAGCAATGTTTTTTTGTACCTATGTATTGCTCTTCTCTGCATGTTATAAAGTATATTAGCAGCACGTTTGCCCCTTTTTAACTTGATGGTTCAACATCACTACATTACTACTAATTTTCATATTTCAAATTACCCACCAGATAAAAAATGTTACGTTTTTCTGTACTTGCTCTAAGAAAAAAGGACGGTAAAAGAAGAGCTCTGTGGCTTCAGACTCGATCGCCATTCAAATGACAGCGTTGTTTCCCCCAAACGTTTCTTTGGTCAAACCGATGTGATCTAAATCAAAGCAGGACACCTCCATTTTTGAGAGGCTGAAAACTGCATTTTCTGCCTTTTTATTTAATCAGAAATCACTTTAAAGATTGTCATGATTTTATTGTGTAAGTCTAAATAATTAGTAGGGATGTAACGATATATAGAATATCGCCTTTTTACCTGTCCAACATGGCAACAAGTAGGTTACAACATGAACATAAAACAGACAACACAAAAGGACATCGTATTTGCAGGGCTACATGTACACACCTACAGTAGAGACATAAGCATATCTCTCTGTCCCAGCAACATCAGTACCAAGCAAGAGAGTTTGTTCCACAGCAGGGGATTTTGTAAACGCCCAAACATCCCAGCTTCTACCTGGAAATGTGGACATGCTCATATTCCTCAAAGATAACCTGATGATGCTGAGTGAGTGAGTGAGTGAGTTAGAGTTGAGTTACTTGAAAAACTAAAGTGAAACTTGATTTATTCTATTGCAGGGTCTGATTATTATATTGTTGACACTTTAAAATACTACTATCTACTAAAATGCTGTACAAATCTTTTTTTCAAGTCAAAAAGTCAATTTTCAATATTGCTATTTCTTTATTTTATGCACATTTTAAAGTATCACTTATTAAATGCTGTATTGTAAGCAAGTTGACATAACTTTCTCAATTTGGCCCAAAACGTTTTTTTAAGCTCACCTGAGGTGTTTTTTCGCCTTGTCCAAAATAAGTTTGTATACATGAGAGTAACTTTTGGGGGGAAAACAACGCTGTCATTTGATTGGCGGTCAATACAAATTCTGAAGTCTTTGCCAATCCGATCAGAAATGTAAGAAAACCGTGGATTTTTGGATCTTCAAAGAGCCCGATTCCAATGGCCAGTCAGGCAAACAATTACATTAAATCATTTGAAATCGACGATCGGGCTCGATATATGTTTAAATATAGCAGTAGGCTATCGATTTTCATAGATGAGAGTAACATCTACGTCACTTTACGGCCCCGCCCACTTTTGGGGGAACGCTGTCATTTGAACGGCGATCGAGCCTGAAGCCACAGAGCTCTTCTTTACTGTCCTTTCTTCTTAGAGGAAGTACAGAAACACGTAATTATGGATTTGTTTTAATGTTTGAGGAGCAATAAACGACACAGCAGCGATTTGGCATGATAAAACTATTATTTTCCACCTCGCTCATGAGCGTAACAGCTGACGAAATTACAGACTCGCCTACTGATTTTAATTTAACCATATATCGAGCCTGATCGTCGATTTCAAATGATTGAATGTAATTGTTTGCCTGACTGGCCATCGTGATCGGGCTCTGAAGATCCAAAAATCCACGGTTTTCTTTAATGTCTGATCGGATTGGCAAAAACTTCAGAATTTGTATTAACCGCCAATCAAATGACAGCGTTGTTTTCCCCCAAAAGTGGGCGGGCTGTAATTTTCGCCCGGAAGTGACGTAGGTGTTACTCTCATCTATAGTAACTGGGACCCTGAAAAGCCAATTGAGTTCTGACGTAGCAAATTAATAAAAAAAAGATTTCAAATTTGTTTTTCTTTATTTTTCGATATCGCCATAAATATCGTACCGTGGACTTGTTATCGCGATATTCTCGTACCGTGCGTTTTTGGTATCGTTACATCCCTAATAATGAATCAACTGATTGTTGCAGCTCTACTTCAATGTTAAAGCGGCAATATTCAATATCTGTTTTATAATAAAATACATATCAAATGACAATGTGATAATGACGTTAATGTGTTTGTTCACGGTCTTTCAATGGCTGTGATCTTGATAAACAGTATTTTAAAAAGCGATTGTAACCACATAGATACAGTTTAGACAAAGATCAGCAGGACATTTTATTGTTTTAAATGTGAGTTTTTAAGAGTTTCCATAATGTTTCTCCTCAGATCGGACCAAAAGAAAACGAAGGTAAAGAAGAAAACCAGCGACCCTCATTTTGAAGAGACGTTCTTCTTTGAGGTAAATTTCACTTTGCTTTCTTCAACACTATTTGTATAATAACTCCTGTATTCTGTAAGTAAACCCTCACATGCCCCCCCCCCCCCCCCCCCCCCTCAGGTCACACGGACCAGCAGCTACTCTAAAAAGTCTCATTTCCAAGTGGAGGAGGAAGACATAGAAAAACTGGAGATCAAGTACGTTTGTCCTTCACTCTCATCTGGTCCCTCTGTGACCCTCCCTCTTTCTGTCTCATCCCCCTCTGTAGTCCTGACAGACGAACAGATATGTCTTAACAACTTGAGGACAAAAAGGTGCATTTTAGATGTGGTGTGTTCTGACTACTGATAGAGAGCCTTGCTTTCTGGTTAAGGATATGTGGGGCGTCCGTGACAGTGGACTCATAGCTCACTGGGTAAGACTAGACAGACTGGAAGGTAAACTCATGCATGGTTTTAAAGGTTTGGATTTGAGGTGGTGTCAATGCACGGGTTATTGTTTTAGCTTTTATGCAGCGAGCAGGTAAGCATCACTCCTGTAGTGACATTTATGTTTGCCATTTAGTTTGGAAATGGGTGGTTATGTGATGTTAGTGCTGAACACACACACAGTAACAATACATGAGTTGAATATTATTTGTATAACTGTCCTTTCTCTATCTGTGCAGAGTGGATTTGTGGAACAATGAGAATCTAGCTCAGGATGTGTTTCTGGGGGAGACGCGGGTCCACGTGAAGATCCTGAGAAGCGACCACATCCACAAAGCCTGGTAAGGACTCGACCTGCGGCTCTTCAGTCGTGACTCAGCCTGGAAGCATGCTCGTGAACTGTCAACGGGGGTGGGGGGTGGGGGTTAGGGTTTGATAGCGCGAAGCTCCGTTTACGCCGGTTGTTAAACAACATCGTTATGGGGAAATGCAAGTCTGCGTCCAAATGGTTGGAAGATAAGGAGGAAGGACAATCGATACTGTATATAGTCAATGTGAGGTAAAGTGTGTCGCCAAGGTAACCGGTTAGAACTCAAAGTGGCGATGAGGTCTTAAAATGTATGGGAAGGGTCTTAAAAAAGGTCTTAAAAGGAATTACATCTGACTTCAGGATTCCTGCATGTACCCTGCCTTTCTAATGTATCACCTCTTATAGTTTGAGGTGATACTGTGACACTGAAATAAATAAAAACTGTTTTTAATATTTCATCAAATAAAGTAGCCTGTGCGTCAAATCCTGCACATTTTCTGCAGGTGGCTTATCCTGAGTTACGGTCCCCCAGCGTCGGTAAACTTATCACGCATAAACCCGAAAAAATATCGACATTTCTGAGCTGAGCAAACACATTTTTAAGAAGTTGATCACGTCTTTAAACTCAGGCGTTAAAAACTTGAGAATACACAAACGAACACTCTGCGCCATTGCTCTTAAGTTATACATATATATATTTCTGCTATAATGGTTTTTCCTCCTGTCACACAATTTACACAACAACTTGCACACTTGTTTAGGCAAGGCATGTTTTTTTTTCATAGAACATTTCATTAACATAAAGGTAATTCAAAGTGTATTACAAAAACATTAAAAGCATTAAACAAAGGAAACATTTGAATACATTTAAAAACACTCATTGTTAAGCATATTAGTCATTCTGGGTAACTTGCTCACCTGATTGCACTCATGGGTTACATGAGTTACTGTCATCAATTTCTCTTTGGAATAGGCTATTTATCTTTGCCAGTGGTTCCCAAACTTTTTCAGTCGGGACCCCCTTGGGTATTGGAAATATTTTCGGGACCCCCAACCCGGTTCCCATCTATATTGGTAGGATTAATTGTTGTAAAAACATTACATTTTCTCTGCTAATAATAAGAAGACACAAAGATCCAACTATAATTGTATATTTTATTATGGATTACACATGAACAAAAGTGCTTGTAAGATACTGTGAATTAATTTGGCCTAATTAAAACTAGCAGGCCTTCTTCCCATAGTAGTAGATTTTTAAATTCAAATTTCTTTAAGGAAAATATATGAATTAATGACTTTCTACTGCAGGTTGCAAACGATCACATCACTTTACCATTCCTATTCCACACTAGCTCATCAATGACTTGTGTGTGCTTGCTTTCCCTCGCAGATCTTTTCAAAGCGGGGCTGTTGTTTTCAGTCTGCCCCTCTCAGTTCATTCTCAATGTTCAGATCTGTATTTGGTTTTGATGGCAGCAGAAAAAGCCGATCACACAAGTAATGTTGCAAAAGGCAGCAGTATGCCCACAGCTCTCTGACCAATGAGATATTTTCGAGCAGTGTTTGTTTACAATTGAATAATATTAATAACAATACATAGGTGCACTTTAAAAACAACGTCATCTCAAGGTGCTTCACAAAGCTAAAAGGAGAAAATAATAAAATCTTCCCACGACCACCCTGCAGTACCTCCGCCCCACAGTTTGAAAACCACTGATCTATACTAATAATGTGTTGGATTCATGGTACTGTAATGTGTATTAAATTTGAAAAAGACATTGGTTAAACTGCCAGTCTGCCACACACACTGCGAAGTCTGTTGGCTTCATGCAGTCAAATGCCCTGAAGGCTTTTTGTACTGCCATGGCTGAGAATGAATAGGCCATTCCTAGATCTCCAGGCAAGATAAAAGAATAACTTTGCAACAGTTTCATACACCGACAGATATTTGGTTGTCTGCGGTTTGAAAAAAAAGACTTCTTTGGACAAACAGTGGTAGCCTTTCTCTTTGGTAATGGACTGTGGAAACACCAGAGACAATAATAATGTTATCAAGTCCAGGAAGTCCGGTGTGCTAATTCATAAATGTATTAACTTGTTGGCAATAAACCTCATAGCCTGGTCATAACCACATCAGGTCTTACTCTTACTTTCTAGTCTGTATGTGAAGGAAACACACCCTGCTTAACTTTAACCGTTACGTTTCTCCCTGCTTTTACTCGATGGTTTGAAAAATCTTCCCGGATTTCTCCGTGTTCAGCAGTTTTTCATTTTGTGTGGGTGTTTCCTAGCTGTGCGTCAGTGTAGGTGATGTGGGATTATGCCAGATAGCAATCTGTTAGTACATGAGGGCTGTGAGTGGAGTGTGTGGGCGGCTCTTTGCGTGGTGGCAGTACCTCCTGTCCTGTTTATGCTGGACATGGTGCACACATTGAGACGGTTCAGCTTCATGAAATCAGGACAGGTGATCTGTTTACGTCTTCTGGGGAGCGTCTCTGCGCCTGTTTACCTTGATGACAGATCAAGCGGCTTATAGACGGGTCTACTGTATGTAGCTGCAGCTTTTAAAGCACTGCTGTGTAACTGCACTAAATCCTTTTGTATCTTGCTCCACCTGTTGGCTTTAGGGAGGACATGCATGCAGCAGAAATAGAAGTATTTAACATGTCCTTTTTAGTATTCAAGTAGAAGTAACCCAGTGCATCCATGTGGATAAACAGCTGGAAGTCTGATTCACATTATGGAGTCACATTAAGTCAGTTTGAGCCTCACAGTGCAAATCCTTCTCTGGGCATTAATGTAGCCCTGGTAGTCTGTTCAATTATATATTAGACAATAATGTAGTTCAACTAAAGTCGTTCAGGAATCTTCAGTTTTGTTTTATGCGTTTACACGTTTCTTTTGGAGGGGAAACTTGCCAAATTTTGATCTGTCAAAACTTGTTTTCCAATTGTTTCTCTCATTTATTGACTTTGATGAGATGCTAATGTATCTTTTGTATTCATTGACCACCGCCCTGTTCAGCTGTAGTTTTCTTTTAATGCAGAAATGTATTAGTTTGCACAACCTATCCTGTATTTGGACAAGGTGTGAGGTATAACAAATTATATTAACAGTACACGTTTTCAGCATTTCTTTCCGAACATTAACTTCGATTTTTTTTTTTACCGATGTATCATTTTATGTATGTATATCTTATATTTATTTGATTGGCTTTATTTTATAATCAAGCTCCATTTCAAGGAGATGTATAATCGGGACATGGAAACGTATTTGTTGTTCCCGTACATCCTCACAGCACGTTCTGCGTTCCTGTGGTTTTGAACAGGTATCTCCTCCAGCCCAAAGGGAACGGCAGCAAGTCAAAGTCCGATGATCTGGGATCTTTGCGTCTGAAGCTGACCTACATCGAAGACACGGTGCTGCCATCTGCCTTCTACACACCGCTCTGCAACCTGCTGCTCAAATCCCCCGACGTGAAGGTAGGAGCTCAAGTTACAGCGGAGAGAGAACCTCTGAAAGAACAAACTCAAGTGGATATTTCTGAGAAAAGGACACCAAAGCCTTTCTGCGGCTCATTAGGATCCAATTGTTCCTGATAGATATGTCGCTTTCCTTTCATTTAAAATGTATCAAGAAGGGCTGCACAATTCATCAGTGCAACATCGACCAGTGCAATATTTTTAATTGCAGGAAGTGTAATGTAAAGTCCTGACCTACAAACGGTTCTTCTTTGATCCAGATCCTCTTTTTAAAAAATCACACAATGATCAAAGACATGTTTCCAAATGGTCCCTAGTTACAAATACAATTAGTTGCAAATTGTTTTGTTCCTTTGTCGTTTCATACTCCGTTTGTTTCTTCTCTCATTGCCATTAATGTACGGGTGCTTTTCATTATGCAACCGTGTGCTTCCTCGTGTCCTTTCTCCTCCTGTGACCCGGGAATCGTTCCCTCTCTGCCATCGTGGAGGATTTTCAAAGGCCTTAAATGCACCTCTCAACCCTCAGATTGAGGAGGCTTCTAGAGGAGCTTAGAGCTACGTGTGATTCTTTTAGCAAGTGGCGTGACGTTTGACTGCCAGACCTGCTCTACACAGTCGGTGAAGCAGATAGCTGTAACGACCTTTCAAAAGCGGATACAAGCACAAACATTCCCACATTTCAAGAACACTGAAATGTTCTGCCAAGGAACCAGTATTTTACCACGGAGTTTTAACCACTGAATAAAAACAAATTATTTTTTTACTATGGGAAGGTCAAACTTAGCATTTAGAAACTTCTTCAGAGATGTTTTCTGTCCTTTTTTAAACACACAATGTTAAAATACTAGGATTTGGGACACTACACTAATACTAGATTCTATGTTGGCAACATGAGTCGTCACTGAACCCCAAGCTTCGTAGCAGTGATGTCTCCAACGTAGTACTACCTCTACAGTACTACACTCCTACAACTAAATTACCTCCACCACCTCAACTACCATGCATTTCAGGCTAGTTTTCCATTATTTTGATTGTGTGACTTACATATTGTCACATATAAGAGGCTTCTGAGTCATTCCTGAGGTCTACATTCAGTTTCTGCGTGATTAAATAATGTATGATTTGACACTGAGATCATTCATAAAGGGAAAGTGATTTTTTTGCAAATGACTATATTTCAAAGCCATCAGTGGTGGCCATCTTGAATTTTTTTTTCAATGGCTAACAGGCTTATAGTAGGAGTTGAATGTGCCAATGTTAGTACTTGTACCCACTTTTTTATTTTTTATTTAATGATCTAGCTAAGGCACCAAGGATTTCTCATTTGGCAGCTTCGGCTCCTTCGTCCTCGCCTCTTTTCTCGCCATCTCCAAGACACGTTAGCATAATGAAAAGCCACCTATGTATTTCATGTCTTCCCCCTCTCACCTTCCCCTCTTTCTCCCGGCCTCCTTCAGCCCATCTTCTGCAAGACACTTTAGCACAGGGGTGTCCAACTACGGCCCGCGGGCCATTTTGAATCGGCCCTCAGCAAATTCTAAAAGTATAATGGAAGACCCACAAAGGAAACTTGTGCTTTTCTTATATTGTACTTCTTAAATATATATGTATATATACGGTTCAAACCCCACTGCAGTCAGCATGTCGTTGTGTCCCTGAGACACTTCACCCCAAATTGCTCCTGTGGGGATTGCCCACAGTATTGAGTATGTAAGTCGCTTTGGATAAAAGCTACTAACATGTAATGTAATATGTAAACATATATCACACAGTAGTATTCATGTGTTAATAAGACTTTTCAAATAAATTCAGTCAATTCAAGTTGGAAAATGTTCTAACATATCTTAGTTAATCAGAAAAAAGCCCAATGACTTATTTACATGCTTGAAATACACCCTTCATATTTCTCCTTATTGTAATCAATCTGAGGGATGAGCTGCCAACACACACAAGCATCATGTACCTACATTTCACTAAATACTTCACTAAATCCACTGTTTTAATTGTTCCCTATATTGCCCCTATGCCCTGTAAGGTGTCCTTTGGTGTTATGAAAGGCGCCCCCCAAAATAAATGTATTATTACATTTGATTGATTTTTCTAACTTATAACTGAACCTATGTACCTCTACCTCGATGTACCTCTAGTGAGCGGCCCAGCCCTTCGTATATTTTTCTGTGTGTGCCCCTCGCTGAAAAAAGTTTGGACACCCCTGCTTTAGCATAATGAAAAGCCACCTATGTATTTCATGTCGTCCCCCTCTTTCTCCCGGCCTCCTTCAGCCCATCTCGGCTTCAGCCGCTCACATCTTAGGGGACATCTGCAGGGAGCGCTACGAGGCGGTCCTGCCCACGGTCCGGCTGCTGCTCCACCACAACCGCTTTGTGCCTTTCGTCTCTGCGGTGGCAGCGCTGGAGCTGGAAAACACTCAGTGAGTTTACACACAAACACATACAGTACATGGTTACAGATTGTTATCATGGTCTACTCTGTAACCTCTCTTACCCTAAAGTTAAGTTCCCTTTTTTCTCCACAACGTTGGTGTTATTGTTCTATTTTCATGCATCATTTGTACCGGCTGTCATAATGCAACCAAAGTGAAATTAGAAACGGGAAGTAGTTCTGAAAAACAATAAATGGGAAGTCTGGAGGATTTTCACGGTATCTTTATTTATTTTTTAACTTTGATAAACGTGTTACTGGACTAGAATCACTTTACTCAAATTGAGGATTTCTTTTATCTTTGTCATTAATTATCAGAATATTTTATATTGGGTTTTGTAACAGTTGATTTACTTGAGAATTAAATACATAAAAGATACATACAAAAAAATAGAATAAAAATACTGTAATGCAAGAATGTGCAATAAGGATCAAATAAAAATTCCAATGTATGAAAACAAAATTATGTATTTGTCATCAAAGTTGAGAATTTATCCAAATATACGTGAGAAGCTTTGGAATCAAAATCTGTTTTGTTGTTAAAATAAGAAATGTTGTCAAACCTGTATATAATGTACGTATTGATGATTGATTGATTTTGTTGTTGTGTCCTTACAGGGAGGCTAACACTATATTCCGTGGCAACTCACTGGCAACGCGCTGCATCGACGACATGATGAAGATTGTGGGAAAGAATTACCTGGCTGTTACCCTGAAGCCTGTAATAGATGAGGTATGAAACACACACACACTCACACTCACACACACGCTCACGCTCACACACACGCTCACACTCACACACACGCTCACACTCACACACACACAGCTGCATTTCCACTACAACACTGATCTACCTGCATCTTCAAAATGTGCTATATTTTATTCTTTGTCGTAATTTTTTGTCTTCTATCTCTGATTTAATATTGCTTCATGTTAAAGGATATATTTTTAGTTTAGGGACGTCTGAAAAATGTCTTGATCCTGTTAATGTCCTTTTTAATTTCAAGAAAATAGGAAAACATTTGCATTATACACAGAAATCTCAATCAGTCATTTCTCATTTATCAGGCCTGACTGTTGTTGTTTTGTCTTCCATAGATCTGTGAGTCCAACAAAACATGTGAGATAGACCCGGTTAAACTAAAGGAAGGCGACAACGTGGTGGTGAACAAGGTAAACACCTGACTCTTATGGCGCATTTCCACTGCAGCGCGGTTTAAGCGTGCCGTGCCCGGCCTGTTTTTGGTTGCGTTTCCACTTGGCGTAGTTCCGGCTAGCGGGTACTGTTTCACCGTTTTCTGGCTCTCCAAAATCCAGGTTCTTTCCGGCCAACAACCAGGGCTGAGTATGCTAAACTAGAGAGAGAATCGCTGGCAACTACAACAAGATGAACATATTTGATCGTGATTTAATTGTAATACACGTTTCTAAATGATGCCGAAGTAACAACATACTGATACCGGTTAGTGAAAACCATGAATTAATGCTTTGACAAGTCTGCAGACAGACGGCAGGCGAAAAACCTTTTTAAAATGCGTGTTTTCTGAATGGAGATTGGCTAAGCTAACGTTGTATATGCTCCGACCGTCCACACTCACAACAACGGCCTATACAGACATAAATAAAGCAGCGACTGTATTCGCCATGACACAGGCAGTCTGTGGTTTGTACTTGTTTAACTTTTGTCTAGTTTCTGAACAGATATGAGGAGCTGTGAGCTCTGAGTGCTAAGAGCTAACGGCTGAGGTTGGTTTTGTGTTTCGCATTGAAGATGACGTCACGGCTCCGCCTACACTGCGTTACTATAGTTACTGCCCCAGTTCCTAAACTGTAATGGAAACGCAGCATAAAGTGAGCGTGGCCTACCGAGGCCTAACTGTATACCGTACTAAGCCCTGCAGTGGAAATGCGCCATTACAGACCTCTACACAGACACAAAATACAACTTATTTAATCAAGTTGATAAATCCTGAATAAGACTATCCATCTGAATGCCTGTGTAATTTGTCTTCCACATTTGACTGTAGGCCTTTTTCCTTTTTAGACATTAGTTTTCCTCTCTTTTTTATGATGGTTTGAATGAAAGCAGCACTAATGTTTTTGTTTATTGTGCAGGAGAACCTTCAGGGTTACGTGCAGAAGGTTTTCTCCTCCATCACCCAGTCCAGCTCCAGCTGCCCCCCCCTGATGTGTGACGTCTTCAGGTCTCTGAGGAACCTGGCCTGCAAACGCTTTTCAGGTAAGAGCCTGTAGAAGGGCTGCCAGATTCGGAATAGATAATCGCAATTATTTTTTATTCAATTGCAATATGATTCAGAATATTAAAATGAATGAGCATTATGCATCATTATTTTTTATTATCCTTGACTGGACCAAACCATTTATGCAATTTGTTCTATTTATGTGTTTATTGATTGTGCGGAGTTTAAAGCTATCGAGTCATATTACAGGAGAAAGGAAATATAGAAAAACTGTATCACCTCCCATCTTCAGAGCAACTATTATAACCTTAGCGTTAAAGGGGACCTATCATGCAAAATGCACTTTTTGATGTCTTTTATACATAACTATGTGTCCCCGGTGTGTCAGGGAACTCACGCAGCGTCAGAAAATAAAACCCTCTCTCTTTTCCTCCGTACCCAAATCTCTAAAAACGGGCTACAATGGAGCTGATCCAGATTTGCGTCCGATATGACGTAATATCTGAAATGTGGACCCACGGCCCAATCAGAAAGTTGCTATCAGAAACAATGCCCGACTGTTTTGGACGTGATATGGTCGGTGTTTACATTAGCATCGCTAACACTCAGAGCTAACCTGTACTGGAGAGCATGTGTGTGAAGAAGCAGGAAGTAAAAAGGAACTCACCTTGTGGTATAACCGGCAAGAGAGAAAGCCTTCGAGCTCCAAACTGTTTCAGATCCTTGATAATCCATGATATGGCGTTTCATCACCGCAGCATTTAGACAGTAGCTGCCGGGTCCCGCATGAGCTCAGACCCCTCCTATTTTAAAGCTTTATACCCAAATCAGCACTTTTGAAACAGGAAGTGAAATAGAGGGATATGAGGCATGGCTAGAATGGCTGATCTGTTTGGTATTTTGAGCAAAACACTTCATTGACATGTTTTTAATATATTTTTATATATCTGAGAGACCTGTGCTATTGCCTTAAAATAACATGATAGATGACCTTTAAGAAAGCTTACTTAAATATCTGCCACAACATAAGTAACCGGATCAAAGTAACATTACGTAGCCTACAGTCCGCGGCACTGAGTGCAGACGTCGATGTGTCCCATTATCACTTCATAATGTATCATATATTTCCTTATCTGAGTCAGCTGAGCCGTATCTGGCCTTGCAACACTCAGTGTCACATACTGTATGCAGAAGTATTATTTTAAGCAACACATTAAGTTGATGAAACACTCGAGTCAAATGTAATTAAAGACAGATCGTGTCTTAGACATAAACCTGTTAATGTACGCATTCAAACACTTTTTCTTTTACCAGCTGTATTCACCTTGCAGGTTTATGTGGCTTTGATCCTGGATAAAGTGTCATGGAAGTTTAACTTCATATGTCTAATATTATAGTTGACTTTTCATTCAGGAAGTATGACGCTGCGCTGTCAGTACGCTTCTCCATGTTTGTGATTGGTCAAATGTTACTAGCCCCGCCCCTTTCATGTGAACGCGCACTCAGCCGGACAGAGAGAAACCCTGGCTTGAGTTACCGAGTTGATAACCAGCGTCGTAGGACCGCTTAGCGAGAGCGTGTTTGTTAGGGTTAGGTAAGCCGGGTAACTCGAACATATCCACTACTGGATTCGTAGTGCAGGTCTCTGAATCTGTTGTTTGGGGGTCCTTGTGATAAATGTTGTTTTATTGCTCGATTTGACATTTCGCCTGATAAAGCGCTTGATAAATTAAATGTTTCATTGTTTCTCCCTACAGCTGACCCACATGTCCAGTACTCGGCCGTCAGCAGCTTTGTGTTCCTGCGGTTCTTCGCCGTCGCTGTTCTTTCTCCGCACTCCTTCCAGCTCCGCTCCCACCACCCTGTGAGTGCACCGTCCCAACACCTTTTTAATATATATATATAATATACAGGAAGACTAGTTGTGATTTTACATTTCTCTTTTTATTTCCAGGACCCTGAGATCTCCCGCACGCTCACCCTCATCTCAAAAACAATCCAGACGCTGGGCAGCTGGGGGAGTCTGTCAAAAAAAATGGTAAGAGTAAAAAGAAATATGATGGCAAAGTGAGAGGAAGGGTAGCATGATGCTTCATTCTGATTAGCTTTGGCTCAATTCCTTTTAAAACAAGGAGTTCCAATCTCTGAACAACACGTTTAACAGTCTTGAATGTCTGATTCGTTTAAGCAAACACAACTAAACAGAGATTTGTTACTAAAGCTGCGTTCACATGACAAGTGGTGAAAGGCTCTGTGCAGATGTTGTTTTTCTGTGGAGAAATCGGTGCCGTCCGAGCATACCTACCTCTTTGGACTGCTTCACATAGAAAAACACATTTTCACTTTGGTTGTATTGGCCAACATGCAAGGTTTAGAAAGATGTTGTTACTCCTAGACATGCAGTAGAGTTGTGATACCCCTTGAAACGGTTGTGACAATTTACTTTAAGTTTAGAGAATATCACAACTTTTTAAAAAGAGCCAAAATAAATTGGGTAAAACTGTAATAACGACATTTGTAAAAGTGATTTGTTTGCAGTCTATGTTTTAGAGGAACAGTCAAAAGTGTTAAATATAGTCACTCTTTGAGTGAAATGCAATATCGTAAATTCTGTGTTTCTTTCTTTCTCTTTGTAGTCTAGCTTCAAAGAAACCTACATGTACGACTTCTTCAAATCATTCCAAGAAGACAAGTGTATCGAAAAAGTAAAAAAGGTACATTTACCTAAAGCTCTGTAGAATTGTTCTCCTTTATTTTTCATTTTAAATGATTAACACTGAAATTATTCTGTTGTCCAGTTCCTTGATGAGATCTCCACTAACGTCAGCAAAGAGTCCAGTGTGCTGGAGGACGCTGTGGTGCTGAAGGAGGGGTGAGTGTTCGATATGAGCCTGATCAACAGGAAGTGAAGCTAAGTGAAGCTAAGTGAAGCTAAGTGAAGCTAAGTGAAGCTAAGTGAAGCTAAGTGAAGCTAAGTGAAGCTAAGTGAAGCTAAGTGAAGCTAAGTGAAGCTAAGTGAAGCTAAGTGAAGCTAAGTGAAGCTAAGTGAAGCTAAGTGAAGCTAAGTGAAGCTAAGTGAAGCTAAGTGAAGCGGCTGTGAAGCGGCTGTGAAGCGGCTGTGAAGCTAAGCTAAGCGTAGCTTGTGGCTGCTGTGAAGCTAAGCTAAGCGTAGCTTGTGGCTGCTGTGAAGCTAAGCTAAGCGTAGCTTGTGGCTGCTGTGAAGCTAAGCTAAGCGTAGCTTGTGGCTTCTGTGAAGCTAAGCTAAGCGTAGCTTGTGGCTGCTGTGAAGCTAAGCTAAGCGTAGCTTGTGGCTGCTGTGAAGCTAAGCTAAGCGTAGCTTGTGGCTGCTGTGAAGCTAAGCTAAGCGTAGCTTGTGGCTGCTGTGAAGCTAAGCTAAGCGTAGCTTGTGGCTGCTGTGAAGCTAAGCTAAGCGTAGCTTGTGGCTGCTGTGAAGCTAAGCTAAGCGTAGCCTGTGGCTGCTGTGAAGCGAAGCGAAGTGAAGCCAGTGGCTGCTGTGAAGCTAAGCGTAGCGAAGTGAAGCTAAGTGAAGCTAAGTGAAGCTAAGTGAAGCTAAGCGAAGCTAGTGGCTGCTGTGAAGCTAAGTGAAGCTAAGTGAAGCTAAGTGAAGCTAAGCGAAGCTAGTGGCTGCTGTGAAGCTAAGTGAAGCTAAGCGAAGCTAGTGGCTGCTGTGAAGCTAGTGGTTGCTGTGAAGCTAAGCGAAGCTAAGTGGCTGCTGTGAAGCTAGTGGCTGCTGTGAAGCTAAGTGAAGCTAGTGGCTGCTGTGAAGCTAGTGGCTGCTGTGAAGCTAGTGGTTGCTGTGAAGCTAGTGGTTGCTGTGAAGCTAAGTGAAGCTAAGTGGCTGCTGTGAAGCCAGTGGCTGCTGTGAAGCGAAGTGAAGCTAGTGGCTGCTGTGAAGCGAAGTGAAGCTAGTGGCTGCTGTGAAGCTAGTGGCTGCTGTGAAGCTAAGCTAAGCGTAGCTTGTGGCTGCTGTGAAGCTAAGCTAAGCGTAGCTTGTGGCTTCTGTGAAGCTAAGCTAAGCGTAGCTTGTGGCTGCTGTGAAGCTAAGCTAAGCGTAGCTTGTGGCTGCTGTGAAGCTAAGCTAAGCGTAGCTTGTGGCTGCTGTGAAGCTAAGCTAAGCGTAGCTTGTGGCTGCTGTGAAGCTAAGCTAAGCGTAGCTTGTGGCTGCTGTGAAGCTAAGCTAAGCGTAGCTTGTGGCTGCTGTGAAGCTAAGCTAAGCGTAGCCTGTGGCTGCTGTGAAGCGAAGCGAAGTGAAGCCAGTGGCTGCTGTGAAGCTAAGCGTAGCGAAGTGAAGCTAAGTGAAGCTAAGTGAAGCTAAGTGAAGCTAAGCGAAGCTAGTGGCTGCTGTGAAGCTAAGTGAAGCTAAGTGAAGCTAAGTGAAGCTAAGCGAAGCTAGTGGCTGCTGTGAAGCTAAGTGAAGCTAAGCGAAGCTAGTGGCTGCTGTGAAGCTAGTGGTTGCTGTGAAGCTAAGCGAAGCTAAGTGGCTGCTGTGAAGCTAGTGGCTGCTGTGAAGCTAAGTGAAGCTAGTGGCTGCTGTGAAGCTAGTGGCTGCTGTGAAGCTAGTGGTTGCTGTGAAGCTAGTGGTTGCTGTGAAGCTAAGTGAAGCTAAGTGGCTGCTGTGAAGCCAGTGGCTGCTGTGAAGCGAAGTGAAGCTAGTGGCTGCTGTGAAGCGAAGTGAAGCTAGTGGCTGCTGTGAAGCTAGTGGCTGCTGTGAAGCTAAGTGAAGCTAGTGGCTGCTGTGAAGCTAAGCGAAGCTGCTTCTTTTGTCCTAGAAAGACAAGGTAAACTTAACTAATGTGCATTTTTTTAAAAGAGCAATAGTTTTGGCGAAAACCAAAAGGTACCATGGGGTCAGATTATAATTTTCCAAAGGGGGGTTCGTTTAGCATGAAGCACTTGAAATAACTAAAGGATAAGTTAAAAATGAAATGAGGTGATGGAAATCTATTTCTGCTAAAAAGTGAGCAATGATTGAGAGTCAGAGCTCAACATTTCAGATGTGTGTATCTCACACTGCTGTAACTTTAATTCATGTTCCTTTGTCATTCACGTTTTATTATCTTTGCTTTTAAATTAGTGTTTCTTAATGCTCTTAATATCTTTCATTTTTGTAATAAACTTGCATTGCCTTTAAGAATTAGAATTCCTTTATTAGTCCCACAGCGGGGATATTTACAGTAAAAGTGGTATAGCAGGTAAAAAAAAGAAGGCATGACATAATATATAAACAACATTAAGTGGCCTGTTGTATTATTTTTTTGCAGCTGAACAAAGAAAATGCAATTATTTTATTTGTTTTTCATCGTCTTAAACTCCTTTTTTAATCTTGTGTGTGTTCTTGTAGGGAAGTACAGAAGCGAGCCCAGGGCAGGAAACGACTTGGAAAGAAAACCTTTAAGAAGCGATGGCTCAGACTGACCAATAGGGAGCTCTCCTACCACAAACATAAAGGTGAGATCCAGTTGTATAATGACAACTTGTTGCATAATATAAAATCAAACCAACAAGAGAAAGCTGCATGCAGTACTTTCTGTCATGGTGTCATTCTTAATGCTACCACCAGGGGGCGTCAAAGTAATACAAGTCAAACGTTCAAATCCTGTCACCTTTATTTTATACATAATTGTCAAAGCCTTGGAAATCATTAATAACATATAATCAGTGGTGTAGTGGTGATTTTTTACTGGGTGGACGGGGCGGGGGAGGGACACTGGACGCCCTCGTGAACTGTCATGGGGGGGGGGGGGGGAGTACACTGTGGACCTCTGTCGCCTGTCAGCGCAACTTACATGATGCCGTTTACGTCAGCGAACCGAGCCGGCGTTTCTGCGCCACTGTCACTCAAATGCGGGACATAGTCTCAATTTGTGGGACGTGGGACAAATGATAAAAATGCTATGTGTGCAGTCCCGCACAAACCCGGACACCTGGTCACCTCACACACACACACACACGATGCTGCCCCTCACACACACATGCTTCAAATCAAGTTGCATAAATACTTGAGCTACGTTTTTATTATAATTACTGTGAAATGTATAATGTTTTCGTCATTATTACAACAAATACACACTTGCAACTGATAACTGACTATTAAAAATAAAATAAAAACATGCTTCAAAAAGGTGGGGGCTCCAAATAAGTGGGGGGATGGCGGTCCCCCGAGTCCAACGACCACTACACCACTGTATATAATAAATGGAAATGCAGAATATGTAGAAAGGAATATGTACACGGAGGCGTGTGGGTTGTGCGTTGGTGTTCAGATCAGGGGGGTCACAGGTTCAAACCCCACTGCAGTCAGCATGTCGTTGTGTCCCTGAGACCCTTCACCCCAAATGGCTCCTGTGGGGATTGCCCACAGTATTGAGTATGTCATTCGCTTTGGATAAAAGCGTCTAACAAGTAACATGTCATGTAATGTATAAATGGAGATCTCAAGCTGATTATGTAAATAAGGGGTGTCAAAACTTTTTTACAATGAGGAAATGAGGATCAAACAATCATATCATGTTTCTAGACCTGAAAAACCCCATAATATATGCATTTAACGTTATTTTTCTAAATAACTTGCAACTCAGTGCAACGTTTGACATTACAGTGGTTTAGTCGTTGGCCCACATATTACAAAATGTGCTGTTTTTTACACTACAGTTATTTCTAATGCACAGTATTCAGGGTGTCCGCGGGGTCTTAAAAAGTATTAAAAGTTGATGAATCAATTTAGCGAAAATGAAGGCTATTAAATGGCATTTTCCAAGGTATTACATTTTGTAGCTTGTTTTCAATAAGTATATAAATGGTCCAACAAGGTTGTGTTCTACAGTCTGCCTGAATGTAATCATGGCGTAGGTGTGTAGTGTGATTCTGTGTAGTTTATTGATGGCATCCCGTTGGGTTTGACGTCATCTGAACAGGACATCGCGCGCTCACTGCTTGATAGCGCGAAGGTCCGTTTACGCCGGTTGTTAAACAACATCGTTATGGGGAAATGCAAGTTTGCGTCCAAATGGTTGGAAGATAAGGAGGAAGGACAATCCATACTGTATATAGTCAATGTGAGGTAAAGTGTGTCGCCAAGGTAACCGGTTAAAACTCTAAGTGGCGATGAGGTCTTAAAATGTATGGAAAGGGTCTTAAAAAGGTCTTAAAGCAGGCCTATTCAAATGGCGGCCCGTGGGCCAGATGCGGCCCAGAACCAACTCCCGAGTGGCCCAGCCTCCCGTGGCCAAATAACGGGCCAGCGAAGTTTTGGAATGATGTCAATAAACAGCAGTTCCCTAACGTTCAGAAAGTAGCGATCTGTGTGCTCAGTATGTTTGGATCAACATACAAATGTGAGTCAAGCTTTTCACACATGAACTAAAAGAAAAGTAGCACTCGCTGCTCCCTGACTGACAGCACTCTTCACCAATGTCTTAGGATTGCATTGACATCCTATGAGCCAAAAATCACTGCTCTTGTTCAAAACGAAAAATGTCACTTCTCCCATTGAGAAAGTCAGCGATGACAAATCACAACTGAGGTGATAGTAAGCTCCTAGTTTACTATAGTAGACGTGTAGTGTTCATTCATATGTTAGTTGCCCTTATCCTTTGTTATGGGTTTGTGCACTGAAGGGTTTGACAGTTCTTTCTGTATTCATTTAAATGCACTTTGTAATGTGTCGTATGATTTTTCTTTTTGTTATTATTTGAAAAGTGAAAAAATAGTAGAACTCTTTTTGTTACATTGAAGCTCTTTAGCTGTTTGTTTATGCACTTTTTGATGTGCATGTGTCATATGCATTGTAGAGGAAACTTCTGTGTAGCATGCAGTGGAGTCACCGACTCAGGAAGGAGACACGGGAAGAGTCGGAGCTTTGATGTCAAACCACTGTGATTTATTTGGAGTTGGTACCAGAGTATTCACATCACAAATCCAAGAGTCAGAGGTTCTGACTTCACGGTAGAGTTGCCACGTCAATTCTGGAGAGCCTCTCTCTTGCCAGACCATCTAACTGGTTTCGCAGAGAGTAAACAACATATTTGAGAAGATAGCCTAAACAGTGTGGGAACACAGAGCTACTTGCCTCGGACACTTATGACCTCGAAGATTTCACCTTGGAGTCCACAAATACAGAGAAGGAAGTGTCCCAGTGTACCCACAACACAGACCATCTGTGACCCAGTATTGACCGGTCACAGAATGGGAACAATAACATTATTGGCTAAGCCGCCTGTGTCCTTAAAGAAGGTAAACAGACATCGAGGTTTGTCCTGTATGTTACAAATTGGCGTCTTATGATAATTATTTCCATAACATGCATCCAATTTTATTTTGTATGTGAGGACATTTATTAAGACTTCTATTATTGTATTCAGTTAAATGCACTTTGTGATGTGCCTGGTTCAAAAAGAATAACCTGAATATTTGACTTCTAAAGCAAACAAATGTAATGCTACAATAATGCACTTTGAGATGCCTCAGATTCTGTTAAATTAATGCAAATTTGTTTTTATGCACTTTTTGACGTACCTTTTGTTAGATGAACAATGAATACAAATGGCATGTTTTTCATCGCAGTAATATGTGTTGGTTTCAAATGTGTCATTACCCGCTTTTTACAGGCCGCTGAATGTCTGGCCCAACTGAATGTGTAATTGAATAGCCCTGTCTTAAAGGGTATTACATCTGACTTCAGGATTCCTGCATATTCCCGCTTATTGCTCTCTGGAGGTTTTTGGATATGGGTTTTCACAGAGACTCGAAGACACCCTGCTGTGTGAACAGTTATAACCAGGGCTGCACATAGCTGGTGCGCTGGTGCGCTGGTGCGCATGCGCACCCGCCGCGAAAAAAGGAGCACCGGATCATTTGAAAAAAGGCGCATTTGCGCACCAACATTGAGAGAGAGAGATATTTGCAAGTTGCATATTAACTGGTAAGATAGCAGGGTTTCCCACACATAGACTTTACCTGGGCGGGCCACCCAGGTATATTAACGGCCGCCAAAGTATAATTCGTAAGCCGTTTAGGTTTGATTTTTTTAATCCGTCCGCGAGCACGACGGCATCTGTCGATCCCTCGCTCTACCCCCTCGCTATTGTGTGAAGGGTCTGCTTTATGCACTCCGCACAGTAACCCTGCTGCGAGGCTCCGGTGAACAGTCCATGAGCGTGCTCACTAGCGCAACTCCCCCCCCCCCCCCCCCCGTTTATAAAGTCAAGTACCCCTCAAAAGGTCTGGTTTATTTCATTTGAAGGATGCGCACCAAGCACCATCTCCAGGTGCTCCTTTGAGAACCAGGGCAAAAAGGTTGTGTGCACCCCTGGTTATAACTCAATATTGTATTATATATTATCTCTTTGATTTACACACGGCATCTATTGCACGTCTGTCCCTCCTGGGAGAGGGATCCCTCCTCTGTTGCTCTCCCTGAGGTTTCTCCCATTTTCCCTTTAAACTGTGGGTTTTCTCTGGAAGTTTTTCCTTGTGCGATGTGAGGGTCTAAGGACAGAGGGTCTAAGGACAGAGGGTCTAAGGACAGAGGGTCTAAGGATAGAGGGTGTTGTTTTTTCTCATACTGATATTCTGAACAATCTGTGCTGTTGTATTTGCTGTAAAGTGTCTCTACTGTAGGCTATTTTTATTATATTTACAGCACTTTGGCTCGACCAAAAATCGTTTATAAATGTGCTATATAAATAAAACTTGATTTGAAAATGTTTAATAAAATGTATATGATCCATATCATAAGGTTTAGATCAGCAGGAAGGCTGAGCGCACCATTCCTGCAGCGAACTGGACTATGGGAACATTTTACAGCGTTAAATGCACTTTTTAAAATGTTGTGGTTACTAACCTGCCATTTAGTCTGTGAGAACTCACCAAACGTTATATTGTGGACCTTGCAAATAGCTTGTACTACTCTGGATGGATCATCTTTCAGAAATGACCCAAAACATATATATTTTTAAAGCACTGTGGTTGTAAAAATAGACCTACGCCTTCTTATATTTGAGAGCTTTTACGACTACACTGTACACCACACATGGGTTGTTCTTACCTCTGACTTTCTATTATTCTAGTTTCATTTTTTACATGTTTACTTTTTTAGGGAAAGAAGCCCTCTGCATCATCAATGTGAAAAACATCCAGGCTGTGGAGAAACTGGATGAAAGTGCCTTTAACCGCAAAAATGTAAGCCGATCCCCCCGAGACACCCACCCATTCATCACTCTCAAAGTATGGCCCCTTTTTAATGAACACTCACAGATGGAGGTATTTTCACTCCTTTTTACCCGGAAAGTCGTGTTGGAGGAGTACGGAAATGCAAACACATCTGATGCTAAATCTCCTGCAATGTGTCAAAGTGAAGCGTTATGAATCACAGGAAGTAAAACACGTTGTTTCATAAATCTATTTCTGCTGTCACGGTCCGCTCTGATGGTCTTTATTGGGTTTTCAACCATTGATTATTTTCATTATTGATTAATAACACAAAGGGGAACTAATACTTACTTCACAATCAGCTGCAAAGCTATTATTTATTATGAATGTATCATTTGATCGTCAACAGAGACACGACATACTGATATACACCTGAACATCAGCAGGAGAGGACTCTTTAAAGTAGAGACACTACATACTGATATACACCTGAACATCAGCAGGAGAGGACTCTTTAAAGTAGAGACACTACATACTGATATACACCTGAACATCAGCAGGAGAGGACTCTTTAAAGTAGAGACACTACATACTGATATACACCTGAACATCAGCAGGAGAGGACTCTTTAAAGTAGAGACACTACATACTGATATACACCTGAACATCAGCAGGAGAGGACTCTTTAAAGTAGAGACACTACATACTGATATACACCTGAACATCAGCAGGAGAGGACTCTTTAAAGTAGAGACACTACATACTGATATACACCTGAACATCAGCAGGAGAGGACCTCTTTAAAGTAGAGACACTACATACTGATATACACCTGAACATCAGCAGGAGAGGACTCTTTAAAGTAGAGACACTACATACTGATATACACCTGAACATCAGCAGGGAGAGGACTCTTTAAAGTAGAGACACTACATACTGATATACACCTGAACATCAGCAGGAGAGGACTCTTAAAGTAGAGACACTACATACTGATATACACCTGAACATCAGCAGGAGAGGACTCTTTAAAGTAGAGACACTACATACTGATATACACCTGAACATCAGCAGGAGAGGACTCTTTAAAGTAGAGGACACTACATACTGATATACACCTGAACATCAGCAGGAGAGGACTCTTTAAAGTAGAGACACTACATACTGATATACACCTGAACATCAGCAGGAGAGGACTCTTTAAAGTAGAGACACTACATACTGATATACACCTGAACATCAGCAGGAGAGGACTCTTTAAAGTAGAGACACTACATACTGATATACACCTGAACATCAGCAGGAGAGGACTCTTTAAAGTAGAGACACTACATACTGATATACACCTGAACATCTGCAGGAGAGGACTCTTTAAAGTATAGACACTACATACTAATATACACCTGAACATCAGCAGGAGAGGACTCTTTAAAGTAGAGACACTACATACTGATATACACCTGAACATCAGCAGGAGAGGACTCTTTAAAGTAGAGACACTACATACTGATATACACCTGAACATCAGCAGGAGAGGACTCTTTAAAGTAGAGACACTACATACTGATATACACCTGAACATCAGCAGGAGAGGACTCTTTAAAGTAGAGACACTACATACTGATATACACCTGAACATCAGCAGGAGAGGACTCTTTAAAGTAGAGACACTACATACTGATATACACCTGAACATCAGCAGGAGAGGACTCTTTAAAGTAGAGACACTACATACTGATATACACCTGAACATCAGCAGGAGAGGACTCTTTAAAGTAGAGACACTACATACTGATATACACCTGAACATCCGCAGGAGAGGACTCTTTAAAGTATAGACACTACATACTGATATACACCTGAACATCCGCAAGAGAGGACTCTTTAAAGTAGAGACACTACATACTGATATACACCTGAACATCAGCAGGAGAGGACTCTTTAAAGTAGAGACACTACATACTGATATACACCTGAACATCAGCAGGAGAGGACTCTTTAAAGTAGAGACACTACATACTGATATACACCTGAACATCAGCAGGAGAGGACTCTTTAAAGTAGAGACACTACATACTGATATACACCTGAACATCAGCAGGAGAGGACTCTTTAAAGTAGAGACACTACATACTGATATACACCTGAACATCAGCAGGAGAGGACTCTTTAAAGTAGAGACACTACATACTGATATACACCTGAACATCAGCAGGAGAGGACTCTTTAAAGAAGAGACACTACATACTGATATACACCTGAACATCAGCAGGAGAGGACTCTTTAAAGAAGAGACACTACATACTGATATACACCTGAACATCAGCAGGAGAGGAATGTTTAAAGTAGAGACACTACATACTGATATACACCTGAACATCAGCAGGAGAGGACTCTTTAAAGTAGAGACACTACATACTGATATACACCTGAACATCAGCAGCAGAGGACTCTTTAAAGTACAGACACTACATACTGATATACACCTGAACATCAGCAGGAGAGGACTCTTTAAAGTACAGACACTACATACTGATATACACCTGAACATCAGCAGGAGAGGACTCTTTAAAGTAGAGACACTACATACTGATATAAACCTGAACATCAGCAGGAGAGGACTCTTTAAAGTACAGACACTACATACTGATATACACCTGAACATCAGCAGGAGAGGACTCTTTAAAGTAGAGACACTACATACAGATATACACCTGAACATCAGCAGGAGAGGACTCTTTAAAGTAGAGACACTACATACTGATATACACCTGAACATCAGCAGGAGAGGACTCTTTAAAGTAGAGACACTACATACTGATATGAACCTGAAAATAGGCAGAATATGTCCTCTTAAATACATTATCAAAATAGTTATTTCTCTGTCGATTTGAGTTGTCGAGCAGCTCTATTATATTTACATAAAACTGTAGATATTTCCAAAAGTAAAAGTATTCATTGTGCAGATTGGTCCATTTCAGAATAATATATATGATATGTTTTATAATGATTGATCATGAAAGTGTTCTCAAAGCTGGTAAAGGTGCAGCTAGTTTGAATGACTTTGTATACTGCAGGGTAGCTTGTGGATTTACTCCACTTGATTATATTTCTATAAGTTATCGTAGCAGCTCTACTCTTTTTACATTAAACAGTAGAGGTATGAAAACATTCACACCCTGTTGACCTGACTGGTTTGTGTGGTGTTAGATGTTTCAGGTGGTGCACTGCGAGAAGCTGCTGTACATGCAGGCGGGGAACTGCGTGGAGGCCGGCGAGTGGCTGGAGGTGCTCGGCCCGGTCAGTCGCTGCAACGAGGGCCGCTTCTCCTCCTTCCACCCCTCAAACTACAGCGGGGGATTCTGGCAGTGCTGCAGGAGCCCGAGCAGCAGCGCCCCCGGCTGCAAGCCCTGCACCACGTGAGTCACCTGCACTGATATGTTATCGATCTCTTTACAATACTAAGACTTAATAGCTGCCAAAATGAACATGGGGTAAAAATCAGAGATGTAAAGAAAACACTCATATCGGGTAGAAAGGGTTAATTAATGATACGATAATACTAGTCCGATCAAGTCTGAAATGTGTCTTGCAGCTCAATGTGTAACATCAATATGGACACATATCAGGACACATGAAAAACAAACATTTAACATAACATCACTGAGAGAAAACATTTTAAATGACACTTTAGCGTGAGTCACCGGCACCTGCACGGAGATACGTTATCGCCAAAGTATCTCATATACTTTTTAATAATACTAAGACTTAATAGCTGCCCAAATGAACACAGGGTCAATTTCAGAGATGTAAAGAAAACACTCATATCAGGTAGAAAGAGTTAATTAACAACATGAGTCACCGGCACCTGCACGGAGATACGTTATCTTTCAACTATCTCGTATTTTCTTACCAAGACACAATCCAAAATAGCTGCCAAATGAACACTTGACCAAGATCAGAGAGGTAGGAGAAAACACTCATATCGGGTAGAAAGAGTTAATTTGACAGATGAGGATCAACATTAACGCAAACCAAGCTCAACACTCTTAATAAAGACACTTTATGTTGGTGTGAAATTCTTCTTGCTTCTTTTTAAAAAGCTTATTTAGTTTGCATCCACAGGTGTTTGACTGCACTTGCTATTCATTTGAATCTTAATTCAGGAGAGAAACGCCATATTTCTCCTGGATATGCTTTTAAGAGAGACAAATGGAGGAGTCTCCACCGCCCTTCACCCCCCCCTGTCACCTCTGAGGATACTCTTCCTTCACCCCACAGCTCTCTCTACTCTCCGGTCACCCTTTCACCCTCGCCCACCCTCCTGGAGATCGCTGAACACACAAAGGAGATACAGGGGGTTGGCACCGATTCCTTCCTGGAGTTCAAAGACCAAATTAAGGCGATACGCAGGGCTGGCAGCATGTCCTTTACCCCCGCTCCTCAACGACGCCCACCAAAATCACTGCAGAGACGCGCACCATCTCCCCCGTCTTCATCACCGTGCCTACGTCAACCACCTCCCCCCCCTGGCAGCATGTCCCTCTACCCCCGCACCATCTCCCCCGTCTCCATCACCGTGCCTACGTCAACCACCTCCCCCCCCTGGCAGCATGTCCTCTACCCCCGCACCATCTCCCCCGTCTCCATCACCGTGCCTATGTCAACCACCTCCCCTCCCTTCAAGAAAGCATCTGCAGTCTCCGAAGCCTGATAAGGATGTGTGTGTACAAAACGCAACAAACTCTTACTGATATGTGATGGGTCCAGGCTCAAGGGCGTATGGCACTCTCAACTAGGGGTGCAACAACTAATCGACTTAATCGATTACCAAATTAGTTGGCAACTAATTCAGTCGTCGATTCGTTGGTGACGTCATCACATGTGTTCTACACCCCGTTAAGCTCCAACGTTATCACTCTTTTTTATCGGTACAGGAGACATTTAAAACATATGTCATATGTATTATTGCTACATAAACATTATATCGCAGTCTTAGTGTCGCCAACTCCGTTTCTAATATGCAATATGACTACAAAATGCGTCTATAATGTATTTTCGATCTTCCCAATTCAGACGAGAGATCTCTCCCCCGCCTGCTTGCGAGGGGGCGGGGCCGTTTACACACACACACGCAGCTGCTACATGCATGCAACACACACACACACACACACACACACACACACACACACACACGGAGGAGATGGCAGAGAGAACGCGCTCCAAGGTGTGGTTAAACTTTACCCGTCTCGATGTGGAGAATCCTCGTTGCCAAAAGTGCAATAAGAGTTTAGTATGTAAGGGCGGTAACGCGAGCAATTTGTCTAAACATTTATCAAAAGTGCTCCACATCCAGACGGAGGAATGCACCGGGTTCCACTGTATTTCCAGCAGCTCTGTAGCCCCATCCACGAGGAACGTTTCCACGTCAGGTGTTATGTATGCTAGCAGCAACACACGGAGTTAACACAATTATACAAACATGGGTTAATGATTAGAGGAAACTGAGTTATTTATTTTGTAAAAGTTTCAGCTATTCTGTTTACAGTTCTGTCATCACATTATTTAATACGATTTGTTAAAACGTTGTTGTTTCTTTTGATGTGAAATATTATGCATTTAATTACAATAAAAAGCAATGTTAGTTTTCTTCACAATTTGTTTAGTTTTACCTTATTTCTTGTCAAAAGAACCATTAATACTATTGTTAAAAAGACCGGATCGATAAGCAGTATCGATATAAGTAGTAGTACAGTTAAAACCTTAACGATCCGAATAATCGATTAAAAATGTTCATTAATCGATAGATTAATCGATTATCAAATTAGTCGTTTGTTGCAGCCCTACTCTCAACTCTTTCCAGGACATGTCGGGGCCCTGCCTGCCTGTAGCTTTGCCGATATCTGTGTTGATAGGTAATATATTAAGAGCGGTGAATCAGCTTAGAAACAGGAAGTGCTCAAACGTTTGTGTGAGTTTATCAAATTTAGCAGTGATTCCATGTCAGCCACAGCTTGTTACAAAAAACATGACTGATAGTGTATCTAACAAACTTAAACTAGCTTTATTAAATGTCAGGTCTCTGGCAGGAAAAACATTTTTAATCAATGATTTTATCACTGAGCACAATCTCGATTTTATGTTTTTAACAGAAACTTGGATTGAACAAAATAACAGTGCAGCTGTTCTTATCGAATCAACCCCTCCCAACTTTGGTTTTATGAGTCAGGAAAGAATGCATAAGAAAGGGGGTGGAGTTGGTATTCTGTTCAATGATTCCCTTCAATGCAGGAAGACATCTTATGAGAACTTTGCTTCTTTTGAATATGTGGCCCTTCAGCTGAAATGCTCCTCTCGAGCTCTGTTCCTAAATATCTATAGACCACCCAAATACTGTGCAAGCTTTTTTGATGACTTTACTGAACTGCTGTCTATAGTGTGTATTGACTTTGACCGTCTAGTCATTGTTGGTGATTTTAACATCCATGTTGATAACCCCCAGGACAGAGGGGCTAAAGAACTGTTTTGTGTTCTTGATAGCTATGGACTGACTCAGCATGTGACGGAGCCCACGCACAATAAGGGGCACACTCTGGACTTAATTATCTCAAAGGGTCTGAATATCTCTAAGGTTGTGGTGACTGATGTTGCACTCTCTGACCATTCCTGTGTTTTCTTTGAGAGCTCTATTTCTGTTCACAAAAATGTTCAAAAAGAGGTAACCACAAAGCGATATTTAACTGAAAATACTAGGGAAATGTTTACTCAGAATTTTTCTTCCACACTTGCCCCTGTTAACATCTCAGTAAATGAGCTAGTAGATCATTTTAATTCAAAAATTAAAAATGTTATAGATGCCATTGCTCCAACTAAGGTAAAGGAAGTGACTGGGAAGAAAATATCTCCATGGAGAAAGGCCATGACCGTGAGAGCAGAAAAAAGAGAATGTCGAAAAGCTGAACGCAGGTGGCGAAAAACAAATCTCCAGGTTCACTTTGAAATCTATAAAGAGAGACTTGGCCTTTATAATTTGGAATTGAAAAACGCACGACAGTCTTTCTTCTCTGACATCATTACCAAAAACAATGCACGTGCCTTGTTTGCTACCGTCGACAGACTAACTAACCCCCCAGTGTCAGTAGCCTCTGAATTTCTATCCACCAGGGCGTGCAATGAATTTGCCTTTTTCACTGACAACATTCAGAAAATCAGACAAGCAGTCAGTGCCTCTGCATCAGGAACAGCAAATGTGCTGTCCCTATGTCCACCTAACATAAATTCAAACACCATGACACAATTCCATCAGATTAATGATAAAAACCTAGAGGACATTATTCAACTTCTGAAATCCTCCTCCTGCTGCCTTGATATTATTCCAACAGGATATTTCAAAGATGTTTTTCGTTGCATGGCCTCAGATCTACTTCATATAGTAAACAAATCTCTTCACTCAGGTATTTTTCCACAGGCCCTGAAAACTGCAGTCATTAAACCGCTCTTAAAAAAGAATAATCTAGATGCTTCAGTAATGAACAATTACAGGCCCATATCAAACCTCCCATTTCTAGGTAAAATCATTGAAAAAGTTGTTTTTCAACAGTTGAGTAATTTCTTGCATTTAAATAACTGTTTCGATGTGTTCCAGTCAGGCTTTCGTCCAAACCACAGCACTGAGACTGCTCTTGTAAAGGTCTTTAATGACATCCACTTAAACACAGACAGTGGCAGAACTTCAGTGTTAGTATTATTAGATCTCAGTGCTGCGTTTGACACTGTTGACCACAGCATATTACTAGACCGACTGGAAAACTGGGTGGGACTTTCGGAAACAGTTCTAAATTGGTTTGAATCCTACTTAAAGGACAGAAACAACTTTGTTTCTATAGGTAAATACACATCTGAGTTGACAAATATGACATGTGGGGTTCCTCAAGGCTCCATCTTGGGGCCTCTTCTCTTTAACATCTACATGCTACCACTGGCTCAGATAATGAAAAACAACAAAATAAGTTACCATAGCTATGCGGATGACACACAAATTTACGTAACAATTTCACCAGGAGACTATGCTCCAATTCAAACACTGAGTAAGTGCATTGAACAAATCAATGACTGGATGTGTCAGAACTTTCTCCAATTAAACAAAGATAAAACTGAGGTAATGGTCTTTGGAGCCAAGGCAGAACGTATAAAAGTTAGCGCTGAGCTTCAGTCTGCAATGTTCAAAACAACAGATAAAGCCAGAAATCTAAGTGTAGTCATGGACTCTGACCTGAGTTTCAACAGTCACATTAAAACAGTTACTAAATCAGCCTACTATCACCTAAAGAATATATCTAGGATTAAAAGACTAATGTCACAGCAGGATTTGGAAAAACTTGTCCATGCTTTTATCTTCAGTAGACTCGACTACTGTAATGGTGTCTTCACAGGTCTCACTAAAAAATATATTAGAAAGCTGCAGCTGATTCAGAACGCCGCTGCTCGAGTCCTCACTAACACTAAGAAAGTGGATCACTCCTGTTCTGAAGTCTTTACACTGGCTTCCTGTGTGTCAAAGAATAGATTTCAAAATACTGCTGCTGGTTTATAAAGCACTGAATGGTTTAGGCCCAAAATACATTTCTGACCTCCTGCTAAATGATGAACCATCCAGATCTCTCAGGTCTTCAGGGACTGGTCAGCTTTCTGTCCCCAGAGTCAGAACTAAACATGGAGAAGCAGCGTTCAGTTATTATGCTCCAAATATCTGGAACAAACTCCCAGAAACCTGCAGGTCCGCTACAACTCTGACTACTTTTAAATCCAGACTAAAGACTTTTCTTTTTGCCGCTGCTTTTAATTGAACTATTCATATCTTAAACTGCACTGTAACTTTGATCCATGTATTTTTTCTTTTAATGTTTCTTTTATTATCTTTTCTTTTTAATGACTGATTTTAAATGCCATTTTCTTAATGTCTTTCGTTTTTTGTAAAGCACTTTGAATTGCCTTGTGTTGAAAGGTGCTATATAAATAAACTTGCCTTGCCTTGCCTTGCCTTAAAGGGGACCTATCATGCAAAATGCACTTTTTGATGTCTTCTCTACATAAATATGTCTCCCCGGTGTGTCGGGGAACTCACGCAGCGTCAGAAAATAAAACCCTCTCTTTTCCTCCGTACCCAAATCTCTAAAAACGGGGAACAACGGAGCTGATCCAGATTTGCGTCCGATATGACATAATATCTGAAATGTGGACCCACGGGCCAATCAGAAAGTTGCTATCAGAAACAATGCCCGACTGCTTTGGACGTAATCTGGTCGGGTGTTTACATTAGCATCGCTAACACTCAGAGCTAACCTGTACTGGAGAGCATGTGTGTGAAGAAACAGGAAATAAAAAGGAACTCACCTTGTGGTATAACCGGCAAGAGAGAAAGCCTTTGAGCTCCATACTGTTTCAGATCCTTGATAATCCATGATATGGCGTTTCATCACGGCAGCATTTAGTTTAGACAGTAGCTGCCGGGTCCCGCATGAGCTCAGACCCCTCTTTTATTTTATCAATCTTTTATTTTTTAAAGCTTTATTCCCCAAATCAGCACTTTTGAAACAGGAAGTGAAATAGAGGGATATGAGGCATGGCTAGAATGGGTGATCTGTTTGGTATTTTGAGCAAAAAACTTCAGAGACATGTTTTTTATATATTTATATACCTATGCTATTGCCTAAAGATAGCATGATAGGTGACCTTTAAGTCAGTGTGACACCTTTAGTTTTTGGGGTATTTTTCCTAAATTTTCTTAATTATTTAGCTCATAAAAGCACAAGCAGGGCTCTACTGGATTTCTGTTTTTATCTCAACAAATTCAAATATTGAATATCTCAGATTATGGTAGAGAAATACAAAATAAAAGGAATTCCAGGATTGCTGGATAGTTCAACAGCAATGTCATCCCCTTGATCTCCTCGTTTCAAAACCCTAGCTCCAATAAAGCTCTGACCCCAAACATGCCAAAATAAATGATTTATCCTTAGGCTCTCTTACTTTCCAAGGCAAACTTTTATAATTTAGGGTTTATCTATCAATGTCTTCTCTCCCCACATGTGCTTTCAGGTAGTCTCAGTGAACCCCCCCCCCCTCTGTGTGTGAGATCCTCTTACACTTGTTGCTCTCTCCTCTCTCAGCACCGTGCTGGCCAACCTGCAGCTGGACATCGACTGTGACCGCGAGACGGAGAGGATCTTCTCCCTGCTCTCCGCAAACGATGCCAAGCTGCAGAACATGGAGGGTCAGTGTGTGTTCTGTTCAGGAAATATTCTCCGTTTGTTTGAGGCCTTTATTTAACCAGGTGAAAGCCCCTTGAGATCAAAAGATCTCTTTTTCAAGGGTGACCTGCAGGACATTAGTTACACATGTAACATAAAAACAACAGAACAACAATAAGGATGACAAACAACATAATGTACAGGGTACAGTTTACAAACTCTATTTACAGAGACAGGTACCGTGAGTATCAAACAGCATGTCACGCAGCCGAGTTTTAAAATGATGCAGGGGAACCAAAGTGCTCAGTTTTAAACATGTTTGCAGACTGTTCCAAGTTAGTGGAGCTGCACAACTAAAAGCTTTCTTCCCTAAGACAGTCCTAGCACATTTAATAAAACAACATCATGAGATCTCAGGAGAAGTGTGAGTGATGGCAGGATCTGAGGATTGCACTCCACATAAAGCTGCCCCCGAGACACCTTGTGGATTCCTGGAGCGTTACGTCTTTGTCAGAGTTCCTGACCTTTTAGTGATTTATGTTTGCACGTGCAAAAAACAGTCGGGGCAAAAGTGCTCTGCAAAAAAACATGAAAAGCATCAAATAAATAAAAGCAGGGATCAAAATGGTAAAATAGGAACAATGATATTAATCACGCTATATGGTGCTGTTAGGCTATAATGCTGCTATATGATGTTATATGGTGCTATAATGCAGTGGCGAACCGTGTCTATCACAACTGGACCTTCTGTAGACACACACACCTCCCCCCGGCATTATAATGTCCGTCTTTTCACTGAATTGTCGTCTTGAAAAGGGTACTCGCAACAATTCCGCACCAACTTCATCTTGTCATTTCAACGTTAAAAACAATAAAACGGAGGGAAACTCTGAAAGGATACGCCCATCGGCTACAAATGAATATATGATTGGTTGATCAAACTGTCAGTCCAAACGTACGCTCTCATTCAGAGCAACGGCCAGGGCATTCGATCAAGGATGTAGAATACCTTGGTTGAAGGATATTCTACCCAGAGACCCAGAACAAGATCTGATTGGTTGCTTTTTTTCTAACACAAAACCACTGAAATGCGTAGTGCATGGTTCGAGAAGGACAAACAAATCAACTGTAATATTACAGATCAACAACACAGATACCATTCTCATTTATTCATTTTATATATATAATTAAATCGATTTTTAGTTTTTATCTGAGTGTTCCAGGGTATTCTCTGAATACCTTGAAGGCCCTGACGGTTCGCCACTGCTTTAATGACGCTATATGATGCTTTATAGTGCTGCTATATGCTGCTATAATAATGATGCTATAATGCTTGGTTCCCTCTCTGCAGATGCGTGTGCCAGCATGGCGGTGTACCAGGGGCCTCAGAGGGAGCAGGAGGATTACTCAAAGTTCACCATTCAGGAACCCAAAGAGACCTTTCAGACCCTGAAGCAGCTCAGAAACATCATGGAGGAACTTCAGAGGCAGCACAACATCCGCAGCGACACCGCGGCGCAGTACGGGAGCATGTGAGTTCAAATCTGTACTGTAATACCAGCAGGGGTAGAAACATATCAGTTATCACTCTGTTACATGTACCTTTATGTGAAGTATAAGTCTCTAAAGTCAGTGCATTACCAGGATAGGACAGGTGCGTTTCCTTGCCTTAGAGGTAAATATGAAAGTGTGTGTGAGGTGTTTGTGTGGTGTGTGTGAATTTAGAGAATAGCTTGTTGAATATTTAGATGTCTCCGACTCTAGTGAACATTAAATCTCAGGCATGCCTTGAGAGAATTTTCTTACAAATATCCACTTGGACTTAAGGATGCTATGCCAACTCAAGGACTATAGCAGCCTAACTTTTTTAATATGATAAGTAAATTTGATCGAAACGAACATTTAGTTTTTTCCCCATTAGCAGCTAATTGGAAATGTAGAATATATGCATACATATTTTTTGGGGGCAACCAGTGCAAAACAGTTTGATTTGATCATTTTGAAATGTTTTCATGTCGAAGAGGATAACATGAAGTAACAGACACAGTGAACTGCCACTTCACACTGCCTTGTTAATTCTGACTGCAATCGATCAGCCATACCTGCTTACACACAGATTGTTATTCATTATTAGGATTAGCATTAGCATGAGCGTTGGCTATTCTTCCTCAGGGGGTCCGCGGGGTCTTAAAAAGTATTAAAAGTTGATCAATCAATTTAGCGAAAATTAAGGCTATTAAAAAGTATTAAAGGGCATTTTCCAAGGTTACATTTTGTAGCTTGTTTTCAATAAGTATATAAATGGTCCAAAGAGGTTGTATTCTACAGTCTGCCTGAATGTAATCATTGCGTAGGTGTGTAGTGTGATTCTGTGTAGTTTATTGATGGCATCCCGTTGGATTTGACGTCATCTGAACAGGACATCGCACGCTCACTGCTTGATAGCGCGCGAAGGTCCGTTTACGCCGGTTGTCAAACAACATCGTTATGGGGAAATGCAAGTCTGCGTCCAAATGGTTGGAAGATAAGGAGGAAGGACAATCAATACTGCATATAGTCAATGTGAGGTAAAGTGTGTCGCCAAGGTTACAACTCAAAGTGGCGATGAGGTCTTAAAATGTATGGAGAGGGTCTCAAAACGTGTTACATTTGACTTCAGGATTCCTGCATATACCCTCTGTAACACATACATACCAAATCTGTGTATGGTTCGTTCTTTGGTTTTCCCGTTTTAGTTTTAAAACAAAAAAAACAACACCGCTGTTTAGTTTTTCCTATTCGCATTTGAAACGGAAAAACCAAAGAACGAACACATGGATTCTACCAACCAGATAAGTTACCTTTTGTATTCTCTCTGTTTCAGGGACAACCCCATCATAGGGAAAACCTCCTAACCCGAGCAGATCTGAACCGGAACCGTCTCCTCTGAACCCTGTTGAGTTCGCTCTGTTCGGACCCCCCCCTCCTCTGGTCCCTTTTCCTCATCTTAATTTATGTCCTCTTTGATATCTACAGCTGTGTGAAAGAAGCATCATTACCTGGTGTGTGAATAGGCTGCTAATTTCTTTTATTCACCCATTTTTTTTTTTAATGATGCTCTCCCAAATCTCGTATGGTTTTGCTCTGACACCACGTCTTTAAAAGTTGATTTAATAATCATCTTTGTGGATTATGGTCCTCTATGTGTCCCCCCTTTTATCCTCTCTTAGTGTCCTTGCTCTGAACAAAAGTGTATAAATATTTTCCGAGGACAGTTGAGTAGAGGAAACCGATCTGCCTTACTTTGATGGATGTTTCTTTCACATGAAATGCTGAGGGAATAATGCAGAAGCACTTTAAATATTTGGAGCTCTCCAAATGGAAACGATTAGATACTTGGTATCAACTCTCCCCAATTTGATCAGTTTCATGATCCGTTTGTCTGTTTAATCATTCGTGTTCAATAACATTTAAAGCCTGTAGATTTTAAGATATTTTTCTTGACCAAAGACGATTTCATAGGTTTGACTTGAAGAAAAAACAAAATGTATTTTGAATACAAATGTTTTCTAATGGAGAAAATTATATATATATATATATATTTGGTTTCTGTGTTTGTTTGTTTTTGCTAACATATCCTTGATTTAGTGACTTAAGGCGAGCATGCAGTCCTGAGAGCACATGGTGGTGTAGAGTCGTGTTTCCCTGTGATTGTGAATCGTTTCGGTACGCTGTGCATCGCAACATATCTGGAGTGGCTTATGTGAGGAACAAGAGGGAACAATCATATTCATAAATCACCTCCCCATCATCCCTTAAATAGTCCAGACAATCACAACACATTTCATTTTTAAAATCAGCAGCTTTTGTACCTATGGCTTAAGAGAATTTGTTTGAAATGTGTCTCTTGTTGATTTAGTACGGTGCAAACATGCTAAAACATTTCCATTAGGAAAAACACGCTGGACTTTCAAAAATAATGTAAACACAAATGTGCCAAAACGCATACAAATGAAGATTTGTGGCGTTTACTCAAGTGCTGCATTTAGGAATCGCTGCAAGCTCAAAACACAACGTAAACCAGGGGACACTAATGGCGCGTTTCCACTGCAGCGGGTAGCTCGCTTTGGTTAGGCCTTATTAGGCCCGGTGTCGGTACACGATGTGTTCGGGGTCCGTCTCTTACCAGTGACGTCACGATGTACGACGTCACGCATTGTGATTGGCTGTATGGTAATTTACCCACGCTGTCTAGAGTATGAAAGGGTTAATAAAACACTCAGGGGAGTTTCCTGAATTTATGCCCAAAGCCAAGCACTAGGCTCTGGGTAAATTAAGAGGCTGATCTGGGGCACTTTTGTCCACTTTCCCTGGTGCTAGAAACTCAAGTCAGGCCTCCCTGGAATCGTCTCAGAGTAGATGATCAGTGGGGCCTTCTTTTACTGAAACATGATGTTTCGATGTATATTTCCATTTCAAATGCTAACCGCTAGCCGCAAAGCTAGCATCGCAGCCACACGCTAGGAGTATGGGAGTAGTAGTGTAAACATAATTATGTAAATAACCCAATTTGTGTTCTGTGAAACGGAAAAGGATTCTATGGAAACAACATCACGGAGAAAAAAGTAATATCTTCTACATATAATAACGGACAAAGTAAAGAATGAAGTGTAGGCTATGTTTAAATGTTCGGAATCTGACCGTGTATGATGGTCCTCTTGAGTTGCCGTACAGCCATTGCTCCGTTTTCATGTTTTTTTAACATGTTTTTCACACGCTAGGAGTATAGGAATACTTCAATTCGGTTCGTCATGATCTGTAGATGTGATTTGCCCCCGAGCACCCCTGTGTAAATTACCGTACAGCCAATCACAATGCGTACAATGCGTGACGTCATTGGTAAGAGACGGCCCCCGAACACATCGTGTACCGACACCGGCTCACTTTAATGCTGCGCTTCCATTACAGTTTAGGAACTGGGGTAGTTACTATAGTAACGCAGTGTAGGCGGAGCCGTGACGTCATCTTCAATGAGAGCCCCAGAAAAACAACACAGCCGTTAGCTCTTAGCCCTCAGAGCTCACAGCTCTTCATATCTGTTCAGAAACTAGACACAAGTTAAACAAGTACAAACCACAGACTGTCTGTGTCATGGCGAATACAGTCGCTGGTTTATTTATTTCTGTAGGCCGTTATTGTGAGTGTGGACGGTCGGAGCATATACAACGTTAGCTTAGCCGATCTCCATTCAGAAAACACACATTTTAAAAGGGTTTTTCGCCTGCCGTCTGTCTGCAGACTTGTCAAATCGTTAATTCATGGTTTGTACTAACCGGTATCAGTATGTTGTTACTTCGGCATCATTTAGAAACGTGTATTACAATTAAATCACGGTCAAATATGTTCATCTTGTTGTAGTTGTAGCCCCCTTGCCAGCGATTCTCTCTCTAGTTTAGCATACTCAGCCCGACTAAGCCTGGTTGTTCCTGGCCCTAGAACCACGATTTAGTCGGGCCAGAAAAAAGGTGAAAAAGTAGCCCTGGGCCAAAACTAGGCCAAGTGGAAACGCAACCAAAAACGGGCCCCGCACTGCTCGGCACGCTTAAAGCGAGCTACCCGCTGCAGTGGAAACGCGCCATAATAAGTGACGCACACAGCTGGGACAGGAGAGCTTGTTGACGTTAGCAGAGTTAGTCTATAAGTGGTTTGTCAGTATATTTGAAATGACTCTAGCTATGTTACATCGGCTAGCTAGCTATGTTAGCTAGCTAGCTTACAACAGATCGGCAATAATATCAGCAGGAATCATTTGATCACATTGTTAAATTAAGCCAATAAATCTTACATTTTAGGTACGCTTCCAACAACGGTGACAGTTGGCCAGCATTATAATCCCAGAACGTCATTAAGCTCTCCTGTCCCAGCTCTGGGCGTCACTTTTTCGTGTCCCCGTTTCTGCCGATTTTTTAGCTTCTTGAGGCTTTTTTTTAAATTTGCAGACGCATGTTTCGTCAAATGTTTTCTAAATGCTGCGCATGTGTTGTCATGTTGGTGAAGATGTTTCTTCCTTTGCACGTGTTTTGGCACTTTTGGTGTGTTTTTGCACCTTGTTCTGACGCTGCAGCGTGTTTTAGTCCGTTGTTCGCGTTTGCACCTGTAGGCCACCGTAGGTAAAACTGCCAAAACCATGAAGAAAAAGTATGTGTTGTAAAGTTTTAAAAAAATGCATTTATTGAAAATGATACACATGCTCTTTATGTGACTCTGTCCTAGTGTCATCCTCACAATCATATCTTGCAGAAGTAGGGTTGCATCTACTGTCGAAGCTGTCAAATATAATGATCCATGCTTATCATAACGTATAAGAGCCAACCATCATGTCTTAAAATCAAAAAAAGATTGTTCCCCTGACATGAAGAAACATCTTAGGGTGTAACCAGCACATTTTAAGAAGTTTTAAAATGCCGTTAGTTAATCAACAAATATTTTTGAGCTGGATAAAGTGATGAACAATCAGAGCTTTGACTCGATCGTGGTTTTGTCTTTGTCCCCCATCATTTGCCCATTTGAACAATGAAGTGTTGAAAGATACAGAAGAAGAAACTTGAATTTATTTTAATGACAAGAGTTGGAACATTTTTATGCTGATGATACACGCTTAACCGTGTGTTTTTTGCCTGTGGAAATTATTTGTTCTGTCTTTGGTGCGTCATATATTTCTAAAATGTGCATGTGTTGTGTATTTAACAATATATTTTTCTAGAAATGTTTTGTATTTTTTTTTTTTTTTAAACACTGATTTAATGTGCTATCTCGTCGCGGTACCTTGTTCAGTGTCTGCAGCTTCTTTGAGGTTTGTGTCCCTTTACTGACTGTGTGTTTGTATCTGCCAGCTGTTTTGAAATGAATGCAGTTTGAAGTGAAAACTGTGAGAAATGTCCAACAGCTAGCAATGACTGTCCACATGCAGGTGGTTAATTGGAGCCAAAATGATTGATTACAGGAAGTTAATCTTTGCCTATACTCGTGGAAAGATTTAAGGTTGAACAAAATGACTCTGGACCAAATTTCAACCACAATTCATGGCGTAAAGTTATTGTTATTTATTGTAAAAGCTTTCATGTCAACTCCATTGCTGGTTTTAATAAGGGGCCAGTGAAGCAGCGTTTGATGTCCTCTGGTTGTGTGCTATTGTTCAAAAGACGGCGAACATGTTACGGTGTTTAATTTCCATTCACTTGGTCAGTTAGTTGTGCTTTTCTGATTTTAATAAGGGATTCTTCATGCATTTTTGTCCGTGTAATAAAAACCCGTTTGTCAGCGTCTAATGCCAAACTGAAAAGGGACGTGCTTTGATCAGAGGAACATTAGAAGCAGCCGTCTGATGTGTGTTTCTGATATTAACCACAAAAGCAAGAAGTTAAGGTTTGAATTAAGAACAAATAATGTCAGGGTTTACAAATCAAGTCTCCTCTCAATCAGCGGACATCTGTTGAGCGTGAGTACGACAAACAATCCTCACGGGAAGTTTTTCTGAAATAAGAAAAAGCTTCTTCCTGTTCGGCACATCTTCACATCGCTTCTGAATGTCTCCACGGTACAAAGTCTGTGTCTGTTTTTATACACATTACATGTTTTATTTTCCATGCAAGGTCTTTCCTATGTCCATTTGAAACAATTTACAATAAAAACACTTTGCCAATGCGTCTCATATTTCCTGCCGTGTCTGAGCTCGCATTAAAAAGATTAAGACTAACTCCACATAAAAGCTGGTTGGAAAATTGGTGTTTTATATTTCATGAGATTTAGTGCGCTGTTTTATGGAGATATTTTTAAATATTTTCTAACGAGACATATTTCCAAAATGGAGCTTTTTTTTTACTTTCTGGATTTACACAACCATTCAAATAAAAAACAAGTCTTATTTGTACATCCTCAAGAGATTGACAGTGGTTTTAAAACGTTAAACGCAGCAGTATTTTTGTAAAGAGCCTCTTAGCAGCACATGTGATTTACCTTTTTTTCCACTTGACTTTCTGAATTTACACGACCATTAAAATAAAACACAAGTCTTCTTTGTATATCTTAAAGAGATTCACAGTGGTTTTAAAACGTTAAACGTAGCAGGACATAGTATTTTGTAAAGAGCCCCTTAGCAACGAACAATATATTTCCAAAATGGGGCTTTTTTTTTACTTTCTGGATTTACACAACCATTAAAACAAAAAACAAGTCTTATTTGTACATCCTCAAGAGATTGACAGTGGTTTTAAAACGTTAAACGCAGCAGTATTTTTGTAAAGAGCCTCTTACCAGCACATGTGATTTACCTTTTTTTCCACTTGACTTTCTGAATTTACACGACCATTAAAATAAAACACAAGTCTTCTTTGTATATCTTAAAGAGATTCACAGTGGTTTTAAAACGTTAAACGTAGCAGGACATAGTATTTTGTAAAGAGCCCCTTAGCAACGAACAATATATTTCCAAAATGGGGCTTTTTTTTTTACTTTCTGGATTTACACAACCATTAAAACAAAAAACAAGTCTTATTTTTATATCTTAAAGAGATTAACAGCGGTTTTAAAATGTTAAACGTAGCTTGAGGTTTGTTGCTGTTGGAGGCGGTGATAACCTTTATGTAACACAGTTCAGTATTTGGTTTTTAATGCCCCCCCCCACAGTTTGTTTGACATATGAATTAAAGTGTGGGTGGAAGGAATAAAACCTCAAATAACCACAGAGCCATGAGGAGTGTCTTAATGGTTTTTGTTTTTATTTGATGTAATAGTCATCCCGTTTCAATTTATTTTCTTGGCTCTCCCTGGATATTCTGTGTTGAATTTTAACGCCAAATGCATGATTTTTAATCTCTTGTCTGTTTAAATTTTAAAAGGTGCCAGATAAATAAACCTGCGTGCCTTCAGGGCGTGGTCTCCCAGGCGTCTGTAATGTTATTACACTCAACCTCAATCTTCTGATTTATTGAGGGCACATTCAGGGCCTCCTTTCCACTGCGGTGGCTCAGTCTTAGGAACATTAAAAGCCTTCATAATGAAAATATTATAAAAAATATACGTTAAACATTATTCAATGCAAAATAACAGAATTAATCGTGCTTGCGGTGTTGAATAATGATCAAGATTTAGTACATGCATTGCAAGTGTATAGCAAGTCAGCATTACAATTTATTAGCACCTAAGCAATCTGCATCAGCAGCCAGAGAGGGCAAAAGTACACACATCCTTTACTCAAGTAGAAGTACAGATACTCGTGTTTGAAAATACTCTGGTGAAAGTACTGACTAAACTTCTTTACTCAAGTAAAAGTAAAGAGGCTTTGATAATTCAGTAAAAAGTACCCATAACTAGCAGCTGCTTTAAAGAGTACCTGACCTCCCCTTAGTACAGGTATTTGTGTTCAACATGTAAGAAGTAGAAAGTAGGCCTACAGGTATTTGTGTTCAACATGTAAGATGTCAAAGTAAAAAGTTGTCAGAAAAATAAGTAGTGGAGTAAAGTACTGATACCAGAAAAATGTACTTAAGTACAGCAACGAAGTATTTGTACTCGACTACTTCCCACCTCTGATCATTACATTACATTACATTTAGCTGACGCTTTTATCCAAAGCGACTTACAATAAGTACATTCGACCAGGAAGACACAACCTTGAAGAAAACAGAATCATATAAGTACATCAGGTTTCATAGAGCCAAACATTTCAAGTGCTACTCAACTGGCTTTAGGTAAGCCAGTCCTTTATTAGTATAAAAGTGCTTCGTTAATAGTTCTATCGCTCGAAGTGGAGTCGAAAGAGATGAGTTTTCAGTTTGCGCCGGAAGATGTGCAAGCTATCTGCCGTCCTGATGTCAATGGGGAGCTCATTCCACCATCTTGGAGCCAGGACAGCAAACCCACGTGTTTTTGCTGATGGGAACTTGGGTCCCCCTCGCAGCGAGGGTGCAGCGAGTCGTTTGGCTGATGCAGAGCGGAGTGCACGTGCTGGGGTGTACGGTTTAACCATGTCCTGGATGTAGGAAGGGCCAGATCCATTCGCAGCATGGTAAGCAAGTACCATTGTCTTGAAGTGGATTCTAGAAGTAAT